GACGAAGTGTGTAGCACTGTTGCCTAACAGCAAGAAGGTCGCTGGTTCGAGTCTCGGCTGGGTCAGTTGGCATTTTTGTGTGGAGTTTACATGTTCTCTTAGTGTTTGTGTGGGTTTCCTCCGGGTGCTCCGATTTCCACCACAAGTCCAAAGACACGCATAGGTGAACTGGGTAAGTTAAATTATCCATAGTGTACAGTATGTGTGTAAATGAGAGTGTATGGGTGTTTCTGCTGTGCAAACATATGCTGGACCCCTGACTATGAAAAAGAAATTGAATGAATATTATTTAAGTGTATAAATAAAGGAACAAAAATCAGCCAACTCTCTTTTCACCATTACTTTGTAAACAATAACACAAGTGCTATCTTGAACAGTGCTCTCAGGGGGCTTTTCAATACGTCAAAGCTTCTCGAGTGAGCATTTAAAAGCCTAAGGTAAACATGTCAGAGGGCATACTGACCTGTTGTAGGTAGGTTATGTGTTAACGCATTGTTTGAAAATGATTGTGTGCCTGTTTATTTCTTGCCTCTGCAACTGCAACTGCTAAAATATTAATATGTATGCTCAAATCACAGTGTTATGTTCTATATATGAACACTAGTTTCTGTTTTATTCTACATGCAGATTCATAAGTTTGTCCTTTTTTATTGTCATTTTTCACTTCTTAAATTACCAGATGGGGTCAGCCCATAATGACAAACTCTGTTACTCCTAGAGTCATGACCTTCACAAACATCACTGTCTTCACTGAATTCTACCTGCTGGGATTTCCAGGACTCCATCCAGACTATTATGGAGCTTTGGGAACCCTTTTTTTGTTTGTCTACTTGACTCTGTTAGGAGGAAATATCTTTATTATTGCATTTATTGCTTATGAGAAAAGTCTTCAGAAACCCACCTATGTAATCTTCTGTAATCTCGCTGTGTGTGATCTTACTTTCGGAACTGTCGTGCTGCCTCAAGCTATTGCAATGTATTTTATTAATATCAACACTATATCATTTAATCTTTGCTTCGTGCAGATGTTTTTTCTTTTTTGCTTGTCAAATGTCTCTTCTTTTATCATACTTTTAATGACCATCGATCGGTTTGTTGCAATACGCAACCCTTTGAGATACTGTGTGCTTATTACAAACAAAACTGTTTTCATTGCATGTGGAGTGATTTGGACATTCATAACACCTTTAATGGCATTTATTGTTTATCAATCCTATGATGAGCCCTATTGTGCTTCTAATGTGGTAACACAAATCCTTTGTGAACGAAATGTAGTAATTAAACTTTCCTGTCGAGATATAAGGCAGAAGCTGTATTTAACATTTGCATGTACTGTAATTATAGTTGTGGGCCCTCCAATTTTCATTTTATGTTCTTTTATTGGCATCTTTACGTCTGTTTTCAACATCTCAAACAGTCAGGCCCGATATAAAACATTCTCCACATGCTTTCCCCAACTTTTCCTAATTTGTCTGCATTTTCTTTCTAAGTTAGTTGTTTATGTGTATGATGTAACAGTTACAATGTCTCCGAGCTTTCGGATCGCTATAACTTTGTGTTCCTGTTTGCTCCCACCTGTTGTCAATCCGATGATTTACTGCTTCAAAACCAAAGAGATTAAAGATGCAATAAGGATAAAAATGAGACACAAGATAGTCAGCATGCCAGTTAAAATGATGTAATGCTTCAGTACAGCATCATGTATTCAGTTTATGTGCTTCTTTGTGTGCTTTTCTTTCAACAAGGCTTTAACTTTTAATAATATATTATTCTTAATCTTTGTGGTTACACTAATAAGATTTCACTAGGTAACATTTATCAATGCATTTATTAACATGAATTAATAATGAACAGTAATTGTATCATTCATTCATTCATTTTCTTTTCGGCTTAGTCTCTTTATTAATCCGGGGTCGCCACAGCGGAATGTACCACCAACTTATCCAGCAAGTTTTTTTTTTTTTTTTTTACACAGCGGATGCCCTTCTAGCCGCAACCCATCTCTGGGAAACATCCACACACACTACGGACAATTTAGCCTACCCAATTCACCTGTACCACATGTCTTTGGACTGTGGGGGAAACCGGAGCAACCGGAAGAAACCCACACGAAGGCAGGGAGAACATGGAACCTCCATAGAGAAACGCCAACTGAGCCGAGGTTCGAACCAGCGACCCAGCGACCTTCTTGTTGTGAGGCGACAGCACTACCTACTGCGCCACTGCCTCGCCCTCAGTAATTGTATAGCAATAAATAATTATATTTATTGTTAATCCAAACGTTTACTAATGCAGGGTTTTAATAACTAATACAAGTTGTGCTTGTTAACATTATACTTAACAAAGAGTAACAACAAATGACTGTATTTTCATTAACTAATGTTAACAAATATTTATAAAGGCTCTAATAAATGTGTCTTTCAAGTTCCTGAATACAATACCAGTAATTGAACTTTACAATTCACCTGCGATCACACATGTGAAGCTCATGTGCTGAAAATGCGGTTTAAACCTTTCATATTCTCATTCATAGCAGTCAGGGATGGGCATAAATACATTGAAATGTATTTTAAAATAAAATACTAAATACATACATTTTAATTCTATCAAAATAAACTAAAAATGCAGCAGCCACAAATGTATTAACATGAAATACTGTATTTTTATATTTTAGAAATTCAACAAAATACTTTTAAAAGGTAGCATGAAACCTCTTCGCAAACCTTCCATCAATAGGCCTATTGGATCAATCCCCTCACCATTAAACTGACTTAGTATTCAACTCAATTCATGTTTATTTCTATAAAGCTTTTTACAATGTAGATCATGTCAGAGCAGCTTAACATAGTTCTAGATTTAAGATCTCAAAACTAAGGGCTCCCAGTACAGCAAAGTAAACAATGTCTGATAACAACAAATCTTCTATGCCACTTTGTTCACCTAGAGTGAAAATTGCGTCCTAGTTAGTGAGTTGAACTTGTAAACTAAAGGTAACTTGTGTTTCTCTTTGAGTTTAGTATAAACTCTGCACAAATTTCATACAGAAAATCCTGTCTTGAAGATGACATCTTATGGTTTGAATTATTTAATGCAGAAAATGGGTCAGAGCACAGTACTATATGTTGATTATGTTTCCACCCGTATCAAGTAATATTCCCATCATCCAGATTCCATCTCAATTCTTAAGCAAAGATTTTGAATTGTACACTAGAGCCATTATATTTCTGGTCTTAGCATTGTTCAGTAGCTATATCCAATAATTGTTAACTTGCTCCTGAATACCTCACCCTTTGTCATACTGTATTTTCTCATCATTTCCATCTATCCAATCATTCACCACATTCTTAAAAATAAATTAGTTTTCTGTTCCGATCTTAAGCTTAGCCAAACAATGAAAGAAAATTAATGAAAATGGCTTAATTTTTTAGCAAAATATTTTAGTGTTACAAAAATATTTAAAAGTGATACAAAATATTAAGCCATTTTCATCAACCCTATCAAATTACAAATGCAATTTTGTATTTGAAATACATATTTGTGATGCATGTATTATACATACTGCCCATCCCTGATAGCAGTAAACTGTACTTAAAACATAAAATTGAACATAAAAGTCCTTTTGATTTGAATGCTAGTGTAATTTAGTTGTTAGTGTCATTATCCATGCTTTCTAAACCTGCTTTATTTTCCTTTCTTAACATTCTTGTATTGCAGTGAGTACAATTGTGTGTGGATCAGATAAGAAAAAAGCCCTCCTAGAGTCATGGCCTTAACAAACCCCACTATCTTCACTGAATTGTACCTGTGCATTTCGCACAACACTATTTATGACATGAGCAAATGATAATGTTCTAAACAGCAGACAGTTGGATAAAAGCAATTGATGCATGTCCGAAAGCATTTGCAATTTGTTAAAAGGAATGAAAAACTGGCACTATGATGTGCACAAATGACTAATTGTTTTGAGAAATGCATTAACTGTTGTGCAAATGTAAATAGTGTTGTGTGAAATGCACCACAGCAACTGAGAACTTATTCACAGTTGGTGTAATCAGACCCTGGACTACACACCCCATCATGCCCTGCACCCCCACACAGGTTTCAGTGTACATTCTGATTAAACACAGCTGTAGGTCATTTTCACTGATTATCTGGCCTATAAATATACCACTCACACTGTTGTCCGCACACTCAATACACTCAAATAATGGCTTTTGCTGTTTGTTAAAACTGCATATTTAAAATAAGCTGAATCAACACAATTTTGGGGACAACTTAATTGTTTTATGTTCAATCCACTTAAATTTGTTAACTTGATCAATTTGGGTTGGGAAGAAGGAATTGTGTGGAACCCAGCATCTTTTACAGTGTACTGCAGAAGGACAATGCATTTACTCTTCTCTGTCTGCTTCTGAACCACGGGAATGCAGACCTACCCACAAATCAGCATCCCGGAATGATAAAAGTACTAATGGAATAAAACCTCAGAAACCTGGCATATCACGCATATATATTTTTTACTATTAAAGTATAACTTTCTGTTTCAATGGGATAGCGTTATTGAGGTATTATTATCACATTATTGACATGACATTATTATCATTATACAAGCTTTTTGAAATATATGCAAGCTACCATATTGCATGCAATGAGCTGCCATATTGCATTTGAGAGGTTTCTGATTGGTCCTCCACCAGCACAAATTAATCACTGTGTACAACATAAAATATACCCCCATATTTATATTTTTCAATATATTAAGTATATAAATAAATGACAAAAATCTGTCTATGGACAACAAAACAGTCTTTTCACAATTACTCTGTAAACAATAACACATGTGCTATCTTGAACAGTGCTCTCAGATGGCTTTTCAATACATGTGAGAGCAATACGTCAAAGCTTCTCAAGTGTGAGCATTTAAAAGCCAAAGGAAAACATGTCAGAGGCCATACTGACCTGTTGTAGGTAGGCTATAATCCATTGCTTGAAAATAATTGTATGCCTGTGTTAATTTTTTGCTTTTCCTATCTTACGTTTTTATTTGTATATATTGTTACTTTTAAGAAGTAACTGCTAAAACTAATAGTATGTATGCTAAAATCAGTGTTATGTTCCAAAACTGTGTACTAGTTTCTGTTTTCTTCTACATGCAGATTGTATAAGTTTGTGCTTCTAATTTTTTTTATTGTGTATTTTTTTCACTTCTTAAATTACCAGATGGGGTCAGCCCGCAATGGCAAACTCTGTTACTCCTAGAGTCATGACTTTCACAAACATCACTGTCTTCACTGAATTCTACCTACTGGGATTTACAGAAATCCATCCAGACTATTATGGAGCTGTAGGAACCCTTTTCTTGTTTGTCTACTTGACTCTGTTAGGAGGAAATATCTTTATTATCGCATTTATTGCTTATGAGAAAAGTCTTCAGAAACCCACCTATGTAATCTTCTGTAATCTCGCTGTGTGTGATATTGCTGCTGGAACTGTCGTGCTGCCTCAAGCTATTGCAATGTATTTTATTAATATCAACACTATATCATTTAATGGTTGCTTTGTGCAGATGTTTTTTGTTCATTATTTGGGGAGTGTCAGTTCTTTAATCATACTATTACTGACCATTGATCGAATTGTTGCAATACAAAACCCTTTTCGATATTGTGTGCTTATTACAAACAAAACTATTTTCATTGCATGTGGAGTGATTTGGACCGCCATAACACCTCTGATGGCCATTATTGTTTATGAAGCCTACGATGAGCCCTACTGTGCTACAAATGTAGTAACACAAATATTTTGTGAACGAAATGTTGTAATTAAACTTTCTTGTCGAGATGTAAGGCAGAAGTTGCTGTTAACATTAGCATGGGCCCTGATTGTTGTGCTGGGCCCTTCTTTATTTGTTTTATTTTCTTTTATTGCCATCTTTATGTTTGTTTTCAACATTTCAGACAATCAGACCCGATATAAAACATTATCAACATGCACTCCCCAATTATTTATCATTTGTCTGTATTTTGTGCCCAAAATTGTTCTTTATGTGTATGATATAACAGTTACAATGTCTCCAAGCTTTCGGATCGCTATAACTTTGTGTTCCTGTTTGCTCCCACCTGTTGTCAATCCGATGATTTACTGCTTCAAAACCAAAGAGATTAAAGATGCAATAAGGATGAAAATGAGACACAAGATAGTCAGCATGCCAGTAAAATGATTTAATGTTCAGTACAGCATCATGTATTCATTTTATGTGCTTCTTTATATGCTTTTCTTTCAAAAAAGCGTTAACTTTTCTATTCTATAGAAAATTATTTAAAAATAAGTCAATAAAAGTCTGCACATTTTAATAGTGAAAAAAGCATTGTTTTTTTTTCTTCTCGAATTTGTGGTATATACACTGTTTTCCAAATTATTAGGCAAGTTGGATTTATTGTCATAAGCATTATAGAATTATAATGCTTATGACAATAGACCCTATCTACACAAACAAGGGCAAAATCACACTTTTTTTCTACAGTGTTTCGTTGTTTGCCCACACGAAAACTGGTATCGGGTCACTAAAAAAAATAACTTTCTGAAAACTTGGGCCAGGGTAAAGATTTTCTGAAACTTTGGTTACAGTGTGGTCATGTGTACACTACAACTGGAGTTTTTGCCTCATGACGTGTGTGCATGGGGACTAATTTTCAAACAGTCTTTTTTACTGATGAGTGCCATGCAACCCTGGATTGTTCCAGATGTATGGAATAGTGGATGGTTGATGGATAGCCACAATGTCCCAACAATGCTACAATGTCAACAAGGAGGTGCCAGAGTCATGTTTTTAGCCGGAATCAAGGGAGGAGAGAGCTGGTAGGCTTATTAAGAGTCACTAAAGGGTTAAAACTGACCTCGGCAAAGAATTTACCGTTTGACCATTTTCTTCCATAGTACAAAAAAAAAAGAACCTTGCCTTCCATAGCAAAATCTTCTTCAGGCACTATCTCATGCTGCAGTGAATACCTCTGTGTCATTGGTGGTAAAACTTCATTTTGATGGTCCACTTCAGTATTAGTAGACTCTCTGCTTAATATCTGTTGATATGCTTCTTCAACAGACATACTATAAGAAACTTTGCAAGTACATGTCAACTTAAATTAACCCCAAACCTAACCCCAACCTAACAGTCTACTTATAATATAATAAGAATTAGTTGGCACGTAGATGCAATGTACCTTAAATTCAACAAACAGACCAACAAAAAAAAAAGTCTGACCTCACTGGCTGCTATAGGCATAAAAGGAGAGAAACTCATGGTGTGGCCACTATCAGCCCGGACCTCAAAGCTATTGAGATCATCAAGCAAAAGATCTATGAGGATGGGAGGCAATTAGCATCAAAACAGCAGCTCTCTGACAAAAATAGCACAAACCTGAATGAAACATTGAACAAATGGTGGCGCTAGAGAAGAACTGAGTAAGAGGTTCAATTTTGTGCTAAAACAAACCTTTTTTTGCACAAGACAAGAGAGGAATTGTAATTTATACAATAGGTGAATATCCACCTTCAGTGTCTGCCCCTAGTAAACAATAATAATAAGACTAAATAAAAACAAATATTTTATTATTACTTTGTAAAAAAAAAAAAATAAACACATTTGCTATCTTGAACAGTGCTCTCAGAGGGTTTTTCAATTCATGTGAGAGCAATACGTCAAACAGTTTCTCCAGTGCGACCATATAAAAGCCAAACAAACTTGTTCCCAAAATATGTCAGAGGGCATCCTGTCCTACAACAGGTAAGGAATGTGTCATCTCGTTGTCTGCATGCCTGTGTTTTATGTTTATACTTTGCCTTTTATCCCAGTAAAAAAAATGACCTCAGTCTCTTGTAAATGTTGGGTTTGCATATATTTTTGCTGATAAAAACAACAATACTAAAAGTATCTATATAAATGCTAAAATAGGTGTAATGTTATACAATTGTACACTTTTGTTCTGTTTTCTTCTCAATGTAGGTTGTATTCAAGCAAGAGTTTGTGTTTCTAAACAGTTATGCTGTTATTATTTCACTTTGTAGTTCACTAGCAATGAGAAAGCCTACCAAAACAGAAACAGCACAGCAATAATCACTGAGTTTGATCTGCGAGGTTTTCCAGGCCTCCTTCGTGAGTACAGACTTGTCACAGCTTTATTTTCATCAACTGGGAATATTTTCATCATTGTCTTTGTTATGCATTAACAAACCCAACCAGGATAATCTTTTGTAACCTCGTCGTGGCAGATCTTGCACTTGGAACAACAACAACCTACCCAGGAGTCTAAATACTAAATACTGAATGTCTGACAAAATCAATTTATTCTGTGGCTTCTTCAGGCAGATGGTTTTGTCCATTTTTTGGGGCTATAAATTCATTTTTCATGGCACTGATGGCTTTTGATCGATTTACAGCTACATTTAATCCCCTTAGATATTATACCCTGATCAAAAACTTCACTATTCATTTCATGTGTGTGTCTGTTTGGACAGCAAACATGCTGCATATAGTTGGAGTCACTCTCTTATCCCTCAGTGTGAAATTTTGTGGGTCAAATGTCATTCCTCACTGCTACTGTGATCATGTCTCTATAAGCAAACTGGCATGTGGAGATGCTGCTACCATGAAAGTCACAAGTACAGCCATTGCCATGTTTGGTCTGTGGGGTCCTTTACGTTTCATCTTATTCTCGTATGTCTCTACTATCGTCTCTGTATCAAAAATCTCCAGGCCTACAGGTCGACATAAACCATTCTCCACATGTACACCACAGTTACTGATCATATGTTTGTATTATCTACCCAGAACATTTGTGTATTTAACACACATTGCTGGATATGAATTTAGTAATGACATTTGCATCGAAGTGTCCATGATGTACAGTCTCTTCCCTGCTGTTATCAGCCGTCTTATATATTGCTTCAGGACTAAAGTGATTAAAGAGGCGATATTTAAAAGAGTTACTAAAACAACTGGTTGGATTCGGTGGAAATGTCTGATGGTTAAAAGACACTAACTGGTCCAATATTGTTATTTCAAAGCCATCTATGAACATGAATATGAGTACATATACATAATTCTTTATATAACAGATCTGTTCACGTCTTTAATAAGCTATGTTAAATTTACAATTAATTGTTTCATGAATATCTCATGCACAATCTAGTCTTTGCATCCACTATATTTAAATCTTTAATAATGTTTTTGCTTTAAACTATTTTAGAGCAAAATTGAAAGACATTTTACTTTCTCCAAGGCAAAATCAACTTCGAAGTACAGAGAAAAAAAAGTTGTTTTAGTATATATTTTTTGTTGTCTCTGAAATACAATAATTAAAAGTGAATTACACCAGAGGTATCCAAACGCAGTCCAGGAGGGCCGGTGTCCTGCTGAGTTCAGTTCCAACTTGCTTCAACAAAACTGCCAGGAAGTTTCTAGAATATCTAGTAAGAGCTTGATTAGCTGGTTAAGGTGTGTTTGATTACAGTTGGAGTTAAACACCGGCCCTCCAGGACTGAGTTTGGACATCCCTGCTCTACACTTAATTACTTGATCAATTAGTCCTGGCAGCATATGTTTTTGGTCATCAAACTAAGTTAATCATGTTCCAACTTAATTTTATAAGTTATGCAATCTGTTTTAAGTCAGTTTAAAATAATATAAGTTCAATGGACTCATAAGGTTAATTCAATACAGCTTAAAAATTGAAGGCAACAAGATTTTTTTATAGTGTAACTATTGTTCTTGATAAAGCAGCGGTGGCAAGTTAAATATTTATTAATATTCTTCTTAATCTTTGTGGTTACACTTTATGAAAATATTTCATTACGTTATGTTGATTACTGGATTTACTAAGATGAACTAATAATTAACAATAATTGTATAGCATTAAATAATCGTAATGTTAATCGAAACATTTGCTAATGCATTGTTTTTTTTATGCAAGTTGTGCTTGTTAACATTAGATGATATAATGTGAGTTAACCAATACTAACAATGAATGACTGTATTTTCATTTACTGATGTTTACAAAGATTAATAAAGGCTCTAATCAATGTATTATTAATTCTTTACAATAACATCCACTAATTGAACCTTATATTTCACCTATGATTGCACATGTGCTGTTTAAACCTTTCATATTCACATTAGCAGTAAACTGTACTTAACTTCAAATTGAACATAAAGTCCTTTCTATTTTAATGGCAGTGTAACCCATCATATATTTCATAAGTTTAGTTTCTGGTGTCATTATACATACTTTCTAAACCTGCTTTATTTTCCCTTCTTAACATTCTTGTATTGCAGTGAGTGCGTGTGTGTGTGGATCAGATCGTAGAGTCATGACCTTCACAAACGTCACTGTCTTCACTGAATTCTACTTGCTGGGATTTCCAGAACTCCATCCAGACTATTATGGAGCTGTAGGAACCCTTTTCTTGTTTGTCTACCTGACTCTGTTAGGAGGAAATATCTTTATTATTGCATTTATTGCTTATGAGAAAAGTCTTCAGAAACCCACCTATGTAATCTTCTGTAATCTCGCTGTGTGTGATCTGACTTTTGGAACTGTCGTGCTGCCTCAAGCTATTGCAATGTATTTTATTAATATCAACACTATATCATTTAGTCGTTGCTTTGTGCAGATGTTTTTTGTTCATTATTTGGGGAGTGTCAGTTCTTTAATCATACTAATAATGACCATTGATCGAATTGTTGCAATACAAAACCCTTTTCGATATTGTGTGCTTATTACAAACAAAACTATTTTCATTGCATGTGGAGTGATTTGGACCGCCATAACACCTCTGATGGCCATTATTGTTTATGAAGCCTATGACGAGCCCTACTGTGCTACAAATGTAGTAACACAAATATTTTGTGAACGAAATGTAGTAATTAAACTTTCTTGTCGAGATGTAAGGCAGAAGTTGCTGTTAACATTAGCATGGGCCATGATTGTTGTTCTGGGCCCTTCTTTATTTGTTTTATTTTCTTTTATTGCCATTTTTATGTTTGTTTTCAACATTTCAGACAATCAGACCCGATATAAAACATTATCAACTTGCACTCCCCAATTATTTATCATTTGTCTGTATTTTGTGCCTAAATTTGTTCTTTATGTGTATGATATAACAGTTGCATTGTCTCCTAGCTTTCGGATTGCCTTAAGCTTGTGTTTTTGTTTGCTCCCACCTGTTGTTAATCCAATGATTTACTGCTTCAAAACCAAAGAGATTAAAGATGCATTAAAGATGAAAATTAGACATGCCAGTGTAAATCAAGTAATACTTTAATACAGTGTCAGTCATGCTGCATGACACTTTATGTGTGGTCTTTGCAACAAAGGCTGTTAATTTTCTGATGAATAGACAAAAATTCAAATATAAAGAAATAAAAGCTTTATTTCCTCCTTTCCTTTGGCTTAGTCCTTTATTTATCTGGGGTCACCACAGCGGAATGAACCACCAACTATTACAGCATGTTTTACGCAGTGAAAAATAATCTAATTTTCATAGTGGTTCATTTTCTTTGATTAATTGTTATTACTCACACCCTTGTCTTAAAACAGTCCCAATACGTTAAGCCAAAATGTAAACCCAAAACCTTTCATTCAAATGAAGCTCCATAAACACTTTTGTGTGCCAATAAACAGTAAATATGACTCTGTTTGACTGTATACTTCCACATCAGGTCATCAGGGTATGTGATTAATAAGCATGTCATTGTCTGTAGTAAACACACACCCTGATCTGACACGAAACTCATTGGAAAACACGGAGTATGTTTACATTGACACTAATAATCCAATTTTAATACGATTAAGACAATACTCTGATTAAGAGTCTACCATGTAAATTGATTTTTGATTAATTTGAACCTACAATTTAGTCTCATTATAGAAGTGCAGTACAGACATGTAAACACCTTTATCAAACTTTTACCGTCGTGTAGGATTTACGCTGCATTTTGTGACAAGATATTTCACACACGGCTGTTTAACAGTATTCTTCCAGTCAGCAGCAATGACATTAATCGAATTATGTGCTATACAAGATCATGAAAGAAGCATTTAAAAAGCAACTTGTGTAAACGCCTTAACCCTCTACAGCATGTTCATTTCCCTGCCACTGTCTATTGACAGGCATTCTAATTTTTTTGTAGGAACCTTAGTTTAGCCAATTATGTGCTTTGGTTAAGTCACATGACATGCAGTGTTTTTTGGTGGTGCGATTTCTGACAGACTGGCATTTATTGCGAGCTGCTGAATGCAAACGTAAACGTCAATAAAACAGCACTCTTCCAGCAGTTCATGTTTGCATCCAACATCTCGTTTGTCACAGGGGCATGCATGAAATGTTCCGGAATGAAAGTGAAATTGCCAAACTGCAGTGAAAGTCGACAAATTAAAAATTAAACACCTGAAATTACATGAAGCTCTGGAGGAAATGTGGATAGCATGATGACACAATGATGTTAATCGAATTGTGTGTTATGACATGTTAAACGAGATCAGGAAAGGAACATTCAAAAAGAAACTCAGGTAAACACCTTAATCATATTATTGTCTAATTCAGATTAAGGCAAATTATTCAATTACTGATGTCCATGTAAATGTTGTAAATGTCACACAAGTGTTCTTGGAGCTTTGTGTCATTACAGTTGAACTGCTGAAGGCACATGTAATGTTTTGACAATGTTTTTCGGTTCCTTTACTGGGCTTTCTGTTGCTATGGAGGACGAGGAAGATCAAAGTGATCAAAGATGCATTAAGGATAAAAATTAGACAAATGAAATTTAGCATGCAAATGCTTTTGGTTAGTGCCTAAATATATTTCAGTATTGTGTATTTGTAGCACAACTTTTAGAGCATAAAAATGCATATTAACATACTATTACTTACTTACAAATTAACATATAAGTACCTTTTGTGGGAACAGAAGTACAATATATATAGTACAGTTTTTAATTTAGTGACTAGATTCTAACATGAGCGACATGGTGGCTCAGTGGTTAGCACTGTTGCCTCACAGCAAGAAGGTTACTGGTTTAAATCCGGACCAGCGACTGGGTCAGTTGGCATTTCTGTGTGGAGTTTGCATGTTCTCCCTGTGTTGGCATGGGTTTCCTCTGGGTGCTCTGGTTTCCGCCTCAGTCCAAAGACCTGCACTATAGGTAAAATAAATAAACTAAATTGGCCATATGTGCGTGAATGAGTGTGTATGGATGTTTCCAACATAGGCCCATTCTGAAAACGTAGCCCTATATACATGACAGGAGATCACAAATTATGTAGCCAAAAGCACATATGGCTGCATTTCGTCTTTGAAATGAAAGATACGGGGTGGTATAAAGCCGTTCCTTTTCTCGCTAACCAGGTGACCACTCATCTCCATATGGACAGCTTTTCTGCAGTTACCAGTTTAGGGAAGGGGAATGTTGGGGGAATCATTCAGTCAATCAGTCAGTCAACAGCAACGTCTTGTGGATTTACTTGAGAACAGCATGCACAAATGGCACTCACGAAGGAAAGATCTCGAAAAGCATACACAGAGGCCTCTGGCAGATAAGCGAAAACAAAAACTGCAAAAAAATGTAGCTCTTAGACATATTTTGCTTTCTACAGTATATAGGGGTACTTAATCAGAATGAGCCTGAGTTGGATGATTGGATGTTTCCCAGTATTAGATTGCAGCTGGAAGGGCATCCGATGTGTAACACATATGCAGGATAAGTTGGTGGTTCACTCTGCGGTGGCGACCCCTGATGAGTAAAGAGACTAAGCCGAAGGAAAATGAATTAAATGATTCTAACATTGTCTAACCATGTACCAATTTCATTGCAGTTTTCTAACCACTTATACATAAATGTGAACTAAACAAAGTTTCTTTCTACAGTTTATCAAAATGAATGCATAAAACTGAACAAACTGGATTATTTCTTGTGTGCTTCAGTAAGGTGCATTTAAAAAGAGAACAATAATCATGTCAACATCATGCCTCAAGCCACTTGCATAATATTACTTACAAGAATAATTGATTTACTGTTTGATAAAAAAAAAAGTCATTTATGTTAATGTTTTAAAATCCTCAATGGACTGCTGTTTTCAATGTGGACCAATGGCCACCAGATGGCACCATCATCTTTGTTTTCTAATATCCATCTTACTGCATTTTCTTTGTTTCTTTATTTATTTTGCAGCGATTTAAATTTTAGTTTTTATCACACTACATTTAAGTGTAATTTGCTAGTACCAGGTCGAACCTACTTCAGAACTGACTTAATTCTTTGTGGCTTTGTATATATATTTCTTATATATTGTATTTAATGCTTGTGATCAAATAATTAAAATATATCTATTTCCTTTTTAAAAAGCATACTTGACTCTTCTTTTTATGCATCTTCCATTATAAACTTTTATGCTAATATTCTCTGCTAAAATAAGGAACACATTGCAAATAAATTATTGATAATTATTTTAATTTATAGTACAAAAACTTGATAAAAATAATAATCTCAATTATTATTCATAAATAGTAAATAATACATTAAATAGGTATTTTTATTTCATTATCTTTCACATTTAATGCCGTTTTAACAGACACAAAATATTTTCAGTCCAAGTAAATATTGCTTTTAGAGTAGAAATTCTAGACGGTTTATTAATTTTTCAAAGGGTTTTCAAAATTATATTAATTTTGATAGGTTTCTTGGTTTTTCTGGTATGTACTGGTTTTATAAATGTACATAAAATGTATAGCATTCATAAAAGGTTATGATATGAACTTTAAAACCCACACACTCAGGATATATGTGTACGTAATGTTATAGATTTGACACCAGATGATGCTAATATACTGTAACAAGATTATTATGTTATTATGTAACACTGTTATACTTTAAGACATGATCAATGGTTATGATTATTATTTGTAAACTATTGATAAACTGCAATACCTTTAAGATATGCCACATAATATAAACACTTTCTTCATCTGTTAATTAATATTTGTATGCAATAATTGAAGTTACCAGTGAGTCGATTCGAGTTGACTAAATAAAAAAGGGACTTTTAAATGAAGTGTGAACCTAGTTTTTGGACATACTTTTAAATGATTTCCTCCTGGTCACTCTGAAAATCACAGTCGGTTGGCTGATGGGTCGGTAAGCTGGCTATGTCCTTAAACACATCCGCATAGCTGTGAAAATGCACTCCTAGATTAAGCAGATTCTCCAGCCGCTGGATCCCATCAGATGCAGAGGAACAGGACAGATTCTGGGTGGAGAGCACATCTCTGAAGGGTGAAGGAGCCATCAGAATAAACGGTCCTCTGGACAAATCTACACCCAAAACATGCAAAAACAGAGTCAAAGGAAAATCAAACCAGAAAGTCACTTGATGTCAATATCTGTTATAACTTTATGGTAGTTGTGATTATCTGTTATGTTAATGTTATGGTTATCTGTTATAACTCATTGGTTGAATCTGAATGTCATCTATTTCAAAAGGTAAGGATGTCAAGCTCTTGTCTTTTTTTGGAAGACTCTGGTGGTGAAATTCAGATGGCCACTAGATGGCCCCCAAACTTAACAAGAACTGTTTGGTGTTTTTAATTGTTCAATCCACAAGATGTCACTGTGATGTTACTAAAGCTCACCCAAAACTGAAAACTCTCACATTTTACTCATGTTTAAGTGATTCCAAACCTTTCATTCCTTTCATTCTTCTGTTGAACATAAAAGACATTTTGAAAAATGCCAAAAGCCTGTAACCATTGACTCTCACTGTAGAAAAAATACTATGGAAGTCTATCGTTTCAGGTTTCCAAATTTTTTCAGAATAACTTTGACTTCAACACTTACCCTCAAGATGTTCCAAACATATATAAATTGCTGATTTAAATGTCTAGCGTCTGCAGAACATAAATATATTCTTCTGGACTGTACTGACCACTTTACTCCCAGCAGACACACAACATCATAAGACGTTACTGTTAGGTTAGATATAGGTCGCCAGCATCCAGGGACAATGTTATTTTGACATCCACGAACGACATGTAATGATGTTGATATTTGGTTGATTTTAGGTTGATTGGGAAGTGACCAAAATCCAATGTCGAACCAACATCTTAAACCAATGTCATGTTGACGTCATTTACTGACACTTATCCATCAGGTATCACAACCAAAATCCAATGTCTGGTAGACATCATATTGGTAATGTCCACACTGTAACATCATTAGTAGTTAATATTTTGTTGTTTTTAGGTTGTGTTGAAAAGTAACCAAAATGCAATGTCTCTCTGACACTGGACATTGATGTCAGCCTGACAGTGGGTTCTGATGTCAACTCGATTTTCAACTCCAAACAAAATTCAACTTCTCACGGTGTTAGGGTACAACCTCAATCTGACGTTAAGTTGACATTCTGTGCCTGCCGGGCTAGTTCTTTGTATTATGAAAGTAAGTCAAGCAACTGACAGGTAAATACTGCATTTTTCCTACCAAAATTATATCTTTCTTTGAAGGATTTTCTCAGCAAATACAGTATTTCTATAGTTTATGACTTTTTTTTTTATGACCATTTTTTTTTCTTTTAAATTTCAATTAACAAACTCATTTTGTTTGGGTGTGGTGTGGGGGTGGATGAACAAACAAGAAGATTCACAAGAAAAAAATATAATTAAATGTGTTCATTTAAAAAAAAAGTGTAGAACTAGACCATAACTAGATAAGAACATTATATAAATGTAATAGGGATAGGCCACACAAAATTCAAAATTACCTCATTGTTTACTGTAGATTTAAACTTTTATATGATTTTTTTATTCTGTTAAATACTATATTTTGAAATTATTGATTAGATTGGACTCATTCACTTCCTTTGTAGTTCTTTCCTACTATGGAAGTCGAGGGGTCCCAGCAACGAGCCTTTATAATAATATCTTCTTTTGTGTTGAACAGAAGAAAGAAACTCAAAGAGGTTTTAAACAAGTGAAGGATGAGCACATGAGTACAATTTTCATTTTTGGGTGAGGATTAATTTTAATTAATCCTCAAGACTTATGCGTAAATTCTGATAGAAGACCATTTTTTTAACCTTCAGTTTTAAGTTCATAATTTTTCACCAAGCCACCATTATTTCTTGCTTGCATCTCAGACAGGCATATTATAAGATCTATGAATATGTATGAAGGTCAATCTATTTATTTGCTTTAGGTGTCAAATAAAAGAAAGCTTGCCTTCAGATTGATGTTCATCTTTGTGATGTGAGCTGATGAGGGACAGTTCTCTCTCACAGTCAAACTCAGAGGCAGTGAAGGAGCAGTGACTCTCGCTCTCTGATGACGTCTCAATCGGCCCGCCACGGCACGGTTGAATGGGACCCTCCCTCAAATTCTGATTTAAGTATCTTTTGCCACCTCGTGGGGTGTTCAGTTTCTCAACCTCATCCGCAGATAGGTGCTGCGGTGGGCCTGTAAGATCAGGAGCTAGTTTTCTCTTAAAGAACAAGTGGGATTGACGATGCCATTGGTGAAAATCACCTTCGGGTGTCTTCAGATGAAGTTTAGGAGATGGTTTGTGATTATTTTGAGGCTGCATGGTGGATTGAGGAACTTTTGCATTTGCCTGTTCATCCTCCGTCTTCATCACATTCGAGTACGTGCTGTCAATCTCGTAATACTCCAGTTCACTTCCTGCAAAACCTGAGACATGACACAAAGGGCCACTTTCAGTAAAACTTTCCACTCCTTGCGTTGAATCCCTAGTTTTAATCAAATCTGGTTGCTTGTTTGGTTCATTTGAGGTGTTTTGAATCTCTGTGGGGCTTAAACTAAACGCCAGGTTATCCATGCCATGTGGTCTACTAGGTGGCATAAGGTAGTTATGACTCTTCTTTTCACCTTCACCATGATTTTGGTGTCTCCTGAGGACAAAACACAGAACTAGGATCAGCAGAATGAGGGCGATGGGGACAACAACTGCTACGATCCATAACGGTGCAGTTTTTTTGGATGGCGAACAGGGATCACTATGGATGAGCTCGGATGAGCAGGATCCACATGAAGACTCTGGAGTGTTGGGTAGACAGATGCACCAGTAGTCATCTCTGGATGAAGATCCACAGTCAGTGTTGTTCCAGCAGGGCTCAGACAGACAGGAGTCCTCGAGGCATGGAGTTAAAACACAGTGGCTTGGAGAAACGCAGAAGGTCTGAAAGGCAGACAGGCTGGACCTGGACTCAACTATATCATTGTGGCCGTTGAAGGATAAGAGGTGGCCGTTGTATTTGATGTATTCCACACATCCTCTAAAACCTAGGAAATCAATTGTAATATGTGTTAGTGTACTATGTTGTGATATTGCAGCATTCCACATGCTATAGGAACACACTGTAACTGTTAAAATGTACAGTTGAGGTCAGAATTATCAGCCCCCCTAAATAATTAGACAGTTTGTTTATTTTTTCCCCAATTTCTGTTTAACGGAGAGATTTTTTTCAACACATTTCTAAACATAATAATTTTAATAACTCATTTCTAATAACTGTTTTATTTTATCTTTGCCATGATGACAGTAAAAAATATTTTACTATATATTTTTCAAGACACTTCTATACAGCTTAAAGTGACAATTAAAGGCTTAACTAGGTTAATTAAGTTAACAAGGCAGATTAGGGGAATTAGGCAAGTTATTGTATAATGATGGTTTGTTCTGTAGATTAAAAAATATAGCTTAAAGGGGCTGATAATTTTGTCCCTAAAATGATTCATAAAAAATTCAAACTGCTTTTATTTTAGCCGAAATAAAACAAATAAGACTTTCTCCAGAAGAAAAAATATTATCAGACATACTGTGAACATTTCCTTGCTCTGTTAAACATAATTTGGAAAATATTTAAAAAAGAAGAAAAAAAAATCGAAGGGGGCTAATAATTCTGACTTCAACTGTATATGGGCTTTTGCATCATGTAGTTACAAGAACTTAGATATAGGAACTAGCCACCAGGCATGGTTTCTTGAGAAATAATATACGCCTGGATGATTTTTCTGCTTTACCAACTGAGGATGGAGAATGTTTTCAGTAAAGATCTTTTCTCTTATGGTATGTTGGGTTTTATAATGGAGATGGAGATGTTTGATGAGTATTATTTATGTTAGAGAATTATTTTTGTAATTTATTCATTTTTATAATACACACACACACACATTTTTTTACTTTATAAAAATACTTTTACCAAACAAATGAACAAAAGATTTACAAGTTTTGCATTTCTTCGACCAATACAACCCTACAAATTATATTATTTTATAACTAACAAATCACAAATGCCAATCTTACCTAAGTTTTGGATTATCTCTGGAAACTCTCTGGATTCCCTCACTGGAGAAGAGCCCAGAAAAATGGTCTCCACAAGGAATGCTGAATGAGCTATGGTGCCATTGGTGGTGTTTGCAACAGGCCGATCATCCAGAAACAGAGAGAAGAGCGAGCCTCTTCTGCGGAGATGAAGAACATGCCACTGTCCGTCTGACACATTTCCCTCCACTGACAGCTCAAGCTGATGACCAGATGTGACATTGGTGAACATGTATAGAGGCTTCCCATCTGATATCTGAGGGAGCAAAAGCAGATTTAAAATTATCAGGCGTTTATTGTTGAAGGGAAGCAAACAACTAAAGGATTATTCAGAGTTGAATAAAAGCTTGCTTAGCTCTATTGTTGGTGGAATAAAGCACATATAAATATCTTAATGGACCCTTTTTACATTTCTGGGTTTCTCATTGGCAAAAGTCGTTATATTTACAGTAGGTAAACTTAGAGTGCAGTGAATGGAAAAGTACAACAAATATTTTGTTTACATTTTTATTTGCTGAAATAATAAAAGAAAACCTCAACAGCAGTGTTATTCAGATCTTCAGAAAAAAGATAAAATTTGGTGAGGCTGATAATGCTAGACAGTAGAGAGAACAACGTCAAATTTACCTTCCTGTCCATAGACACTGCATGAGCAGTAATTCATTTTGTTTGTAATTTGATGCAAAGGTGATATAAATAAATAATGCACATAAATGTTCAAACGTGTTTTTTATTTTATTTAAAAATTCCAAGGATTTAAAATGCTGATGACCGTTAAATGCATTATTGTGAAAGGAGTCTATTGGGAATTTTACCACATTGGTAACATTATAATAATTAATAGTGATAAAGTTCTAGTAATTAAAGATTTTTTTTTTAAATTAAATTATTCCATTCACATTTTTGTTTACAATTCTTCCAAAAATTGTCATATTCAACTTCTATTGTTCTACCATGTTTCACCAAAACATTTCATTAATTATTTAATAATTATTTCATTAATCAATTATTTTATTTATTTATTTTATTATATATAAAATAGTATATAATATTATATTACTTTATATAATAAAAATTATATAAATGTTATTACATAGATATAATATGTATATATTTAACCCTGAATATATAAATACATAAACAAAAAATTATATATACATTTTTTTGTTTATGTATTAATTATTTATTATTTAATCAGTTTTGGCAATGTCATAACAAATAATTTTTATTTACTTGTGAAGTTATTACTAAATTTTTTACCTAATTTATCTGTTATTACTAACTACAAATTGTTCACCTTAAGTTTTAAATATGCTGATTGACTCCAACACACAACCAGTACACCATTTCTTCGTACAGTCCTCATCTTGATCTCAACACTGTCAAAACCCAGAGAGTCTCCTTCTTTCCCAGAATCGAGAATGGCTTGCAGAAGCTGGTTTCTTCTGTAGCTTTCTTTGACATCAAACTTAACATAAGCCTCCCCGTTGAGAAACAATACATGCTGCTCAGCCAAATCTATCAGAAACACAAGTCAAATAACTATAAAATAAGTTTTAAATGTTAAACAAAAGACAGATGAATAAATGAATGCAGTTACTCATGGCACAGCTGGGTCCGGTGAAGTGGTCTCTACACTGGCAGCGGTGATGGGACCATTGGTCTTGACAAACTCCTTCATTCAAACACACTGCAGCCTCACAGGGAGGAATATCTGTTCTAGGACATCTGATTATCAAAAAGAAATCAAATGATGGAAAGTTTTATGAAGGCAATTTGACAAATACAATGTTCCCTTTGAAACTGACCTTGGAAGAATATTGTGGGACGCCAGAGATTTTAATGAATCAGGACGAATGTTGTTTACTTGCAGGTTTCTCATACAGCCAACAAAGTCATGAGTTCTGATTTGCCTCAGCAAAATGGCATCAATAGACTTTACACCACCAAATGTCATGTTATTTGAGCTCACCTCCAGAGTTCTGTGTGTAAAACATGATTTACATGAGTTCAGAAATATAAGCAAGTGTGAGTGTACTACAGGCCTGTAGCCAGTCTGGTAAAAGGGGTGGTTCTGTTTTCTCAAAAGTCTTTCTGCAGTTATTCGCCTAATTTTCTATTTAATTAAGAGGTTTAAACACTGCATTTTATTGACACTTTTTGCTGGATTAGCTTGTCGGATGGTCATGATAACAACACTTTTTGATGTACCAAAAACATCCTAAAGATTTAAAATAAAGAAATATGAAAACAGTGTCCTACATTTTTTTTATACAAATTTACCACTATATATATATATCATTAGACAAAATAGGAATCGGTTTAAGTTTTAAATTAAAAACTGTAGCCTTTTGTCATTTATAAGGCAAATAACAGCAGGCAGCACATTCAACTTTCCTCTGTCAGAATTTGGGAAGAACAGGAAGTCACACCGAAGCAGCCAACACATTCTGCTTGGTCCTAAAGCCTTCTTTGATAGGTTTTAAAAAAGGTATTTTTAAAAAATAATTTATGACAGCATACCAAATAGGACAAATAAGCTCATGTATGGGACAAATTCTGGACCTTTGTCGGTGAGAGGTTTTGCGAACAACCCGAACTACCCCCAGGCTACAGGCCTGTACTATAATGTTAAAGGAACAATTCACTTTTTTTGGAAATAGGCTTATTTTACAAATTCCCCTAGAGTTAAACAGTTCAGTTTTACCATTTTTGAATCCATTCAGCCAATCTCCTGGTCTGGCAGAAGCACTTTTAGTAGGCTTAGCATATAATATTGAATCAGTGTAGACCATTAGCACCTCGCGCAAACATATTTTTTCCATTCAAATCTTGACTCTCTCTTAGTTACATCGTGAAACTGATGGAAGATGAAAAGTTGCTATTTGCTTGAATGTTTTTAGCAAGATGCTAATTGTCAAATCCTAAACTAAGGTAAAAGTGCTCCTGCCATTGTTTTAATTTTTTGTGCAAGTTATTTAATTGTCTAAACCTAATTAATGGTATATGCTAAGCTAACTAAAAGTGTTTCTGCTAGACCAGGTGTTTGGCTGAATGGATTAAAAAAATCCATGTAGGGAGTTGTAAAATGAGCATTTTTCCAAATGTGTGGAGTGTTCCTTTGAGTCTAGGACACAATTTTATCTTTTATCCAAGGCTACTTACTCATAAGAGCAATATAAGTAGAAAATAAAAAAGAGTGTTAGTTATAGGAGTGTTGACAAAAGATAAATATTTAGATGATTTTAGAGAATAACTAATTATTCTGTTTGGTCAAACACATTACAAAGAACAGTTTTATAGAATATAACACAGGGGTGCCCAAACTTGGTCCTTGAGGGCCGGTGTCCTGCAAAGTCTATTTCCAACCCCAATCAGACACACCTGGGCGAGCTAATTAAGCTCTTACTAAGCTAGTGCAGGTGTGTTGAGGCAAGTTGGAGCTAAAAATCTGCTGGACACCGGCCCACCCGGACTGAGTTTGGACACCCCGGATATAACAGAATGAAATATAAGAAAAAATTGGCATGATTAAGTTAAAACTACCTTTGGTTTCCAGTGGCACCAGTTTGAGTGGTGCAAAAGCCTTGAGGTTCATAGACAGAGCAGTTGTCGATTTCTAGAGAGGCCATCTGAGTGACACAAAGGGGGAGAATTATCTACATAAAAACCGACAACTTTTTCATAAATATGGCTTGATTGGCTCCTAAGATTGACGAAATTACCATGAATCACGTACATTTCCAGATCTTCTTACAGAGATGTTGTGAAATAATCCATCAGCTATAATCTTCCCTGTTTCCAATCGTATCACTCCAGACCCAAGATCATAAGACAGAAACAGCCTTCCGCTCAAGATTTCAAGGGCCAGAAAGTCTGAAGTTGATGGCTTGCCATGGTTGTACAAAAGCAGTGCATTTTGCTGCACGGTTGCAAACTCCAGATAGATGAAGTTATATTGCGGATCCAAAGGAGGATATTCAATATACGATAGTTCCTGGAAGCCATAACTCTGTTCATCACAATTGACTCCACTCACACCTAACAATAAATAGAAATATCAGATATTATCAGAAAAAAACATATCTATAAGTTAATATAGTAATTCATTAGTTGATTTCAATAACAGTTGATATCATTTTTCATAGTTTTACTATAACAATAAACATTTAAACGTATTTAAATGAATACATTGTGTTTAATAACAATTCAGAGTTCAGAGTTGTAATAAAATCTTGATTTTATTAAAACATTATTATAATTTTATTATATAGATGTATATATTTGATGAAAATAAAATGGTAAAAACATAAATTAACATTTTAAATATTATAATAATTAACCGAATATCAGTCAACCTCTCAAAATCAGGTCATTATCTACTGTAAATCATAATATACAGAAGATCCATGGCGGATCAGAGATTGACAGAGACATTGAATTTTGGTGTTCGTATATATAAATACATGTTGAATTGCATTACACCCTTATGGTTTATTGTTATGATGATTTAACCCCCTATTTATCTTTAACCTGCATATTTAAAAGTTATACTTACCAAATGGACACTGGCAAGAATAACCAGTAAATAAACTGGAGCAATTCCCATAAACGCAAGGGGAGGAAACACAGTGGTCAACAATACGATCGCAAAATCTTCCTGCAACAAAAATACAGGCTAATTAATTGACAACAATTCAAACAAAATTACACTAACATATAAGTTATAAAACATACCTTCATACCCTGGGCTGCAATCACAGATGAACCCTCCCTGTCTGTTCCAGCACGTTCCTCCATTTAAGCACACCACTGTTTGACATTCATTATCAACTATAGTACAGTGTGGTCCGGAGAATCCTTCCTTACATTGACAAAAATACGTTCCTGGATTGTTGTAGCAGTTTCCCCCATTTTCACAAGGTTCCTTGGCACATTCATCAAAGTCCAGTTCGCATGCATCACCTGTAAAGCCTGTTGGGCAGGTGCAGTTAAAAATCTCCATGAAATAAGGGGACACAAATATAAGGCTAGAGCTTTCCAACACAGCAACTTCCTGACTGATGTGAATGTTTCTGTTGCAGGTGGCACCATTGTGGCAAGGACGGAGCATACAGGGGTTGCTGGTTATTTGGGATATAGTCACATTGCTTTGTGCTTCCAGTAACTTTTTATGCATGCTTGATATTCCGCTTGCCACTTCTCCAGTTAGATATTGCCCATTGTAGCTCTTCACAGCAGCAAGAAGCAGCATTTTATCTCCTTGCAGCTTCATTCCAAACACATGCGTTTTGGAGGCTTGTAGATTAAAGAGACTATCCAAAGCTTTAACGAATTTTAAATACTTCAAAGACAGAAACTCCTCAAGAGTAGAAATAGAGACATAAAACAACACACAGTTGTCAAGAGAGACGTTGGTAAAACCTTTGTAATTGACGTAAATACTGTTGTTAACTGAAGGATGGAGCTGATCACTTGCTTCCACTGAAATATTATAAGTTGCTTCTCCTTGGTATGGGGAGGACCACAAATTACACATCCCAAAAGGGAAACTAAACATCCTGGGTTGGCCATTTCTGATTGTACAGTTGAACACATCCAGTTCATCCAGATCAGTTGGTCTCACATTTCCAATTAGCCCTCCTGGGAAAGAACTTCCGTAATATTTGACCAATATATTAATGTTTCTCGGGACTGGTGCATTATCATTTTCATCAAGAACTTTAATATGAAACAATGTGGTAGAGGACATTGGTGGCTTACCAGCATCTTGAACGACAATATGCATGTGAAAAAGTGGATCATGTTCCCGGTCAAAGGGTTTTGAGGTAACCAGAACTCCCTCAGTTGTAAGCGAAAAACCCTCAGCAGGTCTCATCATCCAGTATGTGAAAGGGCCTTGATTTGGAGGAAGATCATCATCTGTGGCTGTTAAGGTGGAGACCAGAGTGTCAGCAGGCTGGTTTTCTCTTATAAACCCTTCTGTGGTCAACAGTTTGGGAGGACTGTCATTGATATCATTAACGGTTATAGCAACCTTTGTGCTTCCTGTTACAGAAGGTGAACCCTCATCAACAGCAATGACCGTCAGGTTGTAGATGGCCCATATCTCTCTATCCAGGTGACTGTTAACAGAAATGACTCCACTCACTGGATCTATAATGAAGGAACTATTAATATTTCCATGTTCAATGCTATACGAGAACCTGCTCCATTCTAGAATTACATCTGGATCGACTGCTTTGACTTTGGCAATAGAAGTCCCAATCGAGATGTCTTCTGACACTGCTACAATGTAGAGCATTGAATCAAACTCAGGTGGATCATTTTCATCCAATATGCTTAGATGTATTAATGCTTCATCAACATTAAACCCAGTAATGGCCCCTCTGTTTTTTGCCAACACATGTAGGACGTCTTCATTTTTGAGGCGAGTTTTCAAATCTTTGGCGATATATATTTTTCCTGTATGCTTGTCTACTACGAAATTTGATTTTTTACTTTGACCCACAAGTATGTAAAACACTTCTCCGTCAGGGCCTAGGTCATAATCAGTAGCCAGGATGCTGCCTATTTCAGTTTGTGGCATCAAAGCTTCTGACACTGAGAAGTTGTATAGATGTCTTTGAAAAGCAGGGATGAACTCATTAACACCAACAACCTGGATGTATATACGGGCAATATCAAACAAAAATGGAGGACCAATGTTGGTGGCCTTAACTGTAAGTTCAAAATGCTGATTTTGCTCATAATCAAAAATCTCCAAAGTGGTAATAGATCCATTTTTGCTGTCCAAAGAGAACAGCTGAGCATCTCCTGCGATAACCGAATATGTGATTTGAGAGTGAATTCCTGTGTCACTGTCCTTTGCCCAAACTTGCAACACTAAGGTCCCAATGAAAGCATTTTCTAAAACAGAGGCAACATAGTCCTTAGATGTAAATATAGGGGGGTTGTCGTTTAAATCTGTAACATACACTGTGACATTAAGTCTGCCCTTTTTAGGACGCCAACCTCCATCCTTGGCAATGACACTAAGATGGTGAGTTTCTGACTTCTCAAAGTCAAGTCCTTTAACCAGCATTATCAATCCTGAAAAGTGTTCTATGGAAAACAAACCATTTTCATTTCCACCATCAAAAGAGTAAGAAATAACACCATTGGAACCAACATCCTTATCTTTGCCTTGGATCTTTCCAATAACTGAACCCACAGGCAAATCCTCTGGAACAAAAAACTCAACTTGGCTGTTGAGAAACTGAGGTGCAAACTGGTTCTCTTGTATAACTTCAAAACTGATTTCAGTTTGTGCAGCAATAGGCGGGAGGCCTTTATCTTTTGCAGTAATTTCAAGTGTTAGGATCATGTTAAGGCTATTTGCTAAAGTTGCATTTACCAGTACTCTTCCACTGTTTTGTTCTACCTGAAAATAAAGAGATCCGTTGCCACCACTATTGAAGTACTCAACACTGTTGTTCATTTGAAGATAATCTTGATCTACCGCAGATACTTGGATAACTTCTGATCCTACATCCAAAGTTAAAGGAATTGATACCAAAGGCTTGAATGGCAAAAACATTGGTGGGAAATAATTATATTGCACTAATGCTACTGAAACAATGCTAGAGCTGTTTAGAGAAACATTGCCGCAGTCTGATGCCACAACCATAAATGTAAAAATTTCAGATTCCAGTTCAGCCAAAGCAATGGTCTGTTTGTTTGAAATTTCCCCAGTTGATGCATTCACAAAAAAAAGTTCATTTGGTGGATTGATGAAGTAGAGTACTTGAGCATTCTCACCAAGATCTCTGTCAGTGGCACTAACTTGTAAAATGAAAACTTCATGCATCTTCATCTCAGGGATAGTGACAGAGTATACTGGTTGAGAGAAGATTGGCGCGTTGTCGTTGACATCTGTAATGTCTATGGTGACATCTGTGCTGATGCTCCAAGCAGAATCATTGGCATTGACCTTCACTATATAATGATCCTGATCTTCTCTGTCCAAAGGATGCGATACAAATAAAGTACCAGTGGTTTTATCAATGCTAAATGGAAACTCACTGTTATGGCCAATGATTGTATATTCAATGACAGCATTCAGACCAGCATCTTCATCAGTAGCAACAATCTGAATGACTGAAAAGCCAATGGGAGCATTCTCTGGAACCTCTGTGACGTAAATCTTTGTGAATCGAGGTGCATGATCATTTGTGTCAAGAACTTCAACTATTATAGATGCTACGGCCAAAAGACTGTTGTTTTCTTTATCAATAGCCTTTATGGAGAGATTATAATATGGTATTTGTTCTCTGTCTAATCGTTTTGTTGTGGAAAGAGTGCCTCGATTTTTGTCTATTTTAAATGTGCTCTCAATGTTACCACCTAGAATGAAGTACAGCACTTCTGCAAACACTCCAGAATCAGCATCCTTTGCTAAAACATTACACACCCTACTTGAAGCCAAGTTTTCATACACTTGGCATTTGTAGATGTCTTGTGAGAACACTGGTGGGTTGTCATTCACATCGCTGATATTCAAATGAAGTTCAGCATATGAAGAAAAAGGTGGTATTCCTGAGTCTCTGGCTTCAACTATTAGATGAAAATACATGTTGGTTTCAAAATCTAAGGGATCCTTGATAGTCAACTCACCAGTGCTAGGGTGAAGCTCAAAAACCTCCCCAAAGTTTCCAGAGGGCAGATAGAAATACACTGATACATTTTTCAATGTTTCTGCAGTCACAATGGCCACTAAGGTCCCGATGGGTGCGTCCTCAAAGAGACTGTTCTTATAAACCTGGACTGCAATTTTAGGAAAGTATGAGTCATTCCAAAATCTGACAGTCAAGGTTGTTGTGTCCATTTTTGGCATTTCTGCTCCATCCTGCACATGAACATCAATGGTGATGTCATTTCTTCTATTTATTGAATCTGAAATTAACACTGTTCCCGTGTGAGAGTTAATGGAGAAGAGATGGGCATGCTGGCCTTGCAGAGAAAAATTTAGTTTTGCATTCAATTCAACATCTGCATCTTCTGCCATCACTGTGCAAACAACTGATCCTGTAGAATAAAGAATGAAAATGAAAAAGTTTGTTGAGTTCAGTAAATTCAGTCATTTTTGTGGTTAACTAACTCATTTCAAAGTCATAACAATAATGCTTATATTCACCTTTGGTTAACCCAAAAGGTATATTGGCCACATATGGTCCATAAAGAAATGACGGAAAGTTATCATTCACATCCTCAATTGTTACCACAACAGCAGCTGAGCTGGAAAGAGGCATTGTGGGATGACCATCACTGACGATAACCAAAAATCTGTAGAAAGGCACTGTCTCTCTGTCCAAAGCACTTACAGTGAATAAATCCCCAGATGTTGCATTGATGAAAAATGGAAAATCGAGGCCCTCTAAAGAATATCTGAAAGTATGAGTCAATTATTAATAATTGAAACATGAGTCAATTATTTACTGTCAATTATCTTAAGACAGGTTCCTATTTTTTTGTTGATAACTGAAGTTTAAACTTAATGAAAAGTAACTTTAATTTTAGACAACATTAGTTAAAAAAACTGAATTGAAATTAGTCACACTAGGCTTTAAAATGCACATACTGTAATATTACCAAAAGTTAAAATCAAAATAAAACCTCAAGGCTGAATAATAAATAATAAATACAAATATCTACTGGAGTTGCATATAAGTGATTTCAAAATAACGTTGGATAAGATCAGACAAAACATAAATAATTTTTTCACAGAAAATGCCTTTCTTTATGACAACATCATAATGTACTAAACAAATTACCTTAACTGGCCAATGGTGCCATCATCTAAGTCCGAAGCTGTAATTCTCAGAAAAGAAGTTCCAACAGGAGAATCCTCCAATACATGAGCAGTGAATATATCCTTTTCAAAAACTGGGATGTTGTCATTGATGTCATCTACAACAATAATTAAAGTGCCTGTGCCTGTCAGTGATGGAAATCCTAGAAAGGAATAACAAACAAATTAAAATTAAAATTCAGTATACATCAAGCAATTAATACTAATCTCCAACTTAGCCTATATAGAACAAATATAAATAGAACAGCTCTAAAATTAATGACTGAAAAAAAACAATAGGAGTGTTTTCGGGAGCCTCTGCAATGAATATCTTTGAGAATCAAGGTGCAAGATAATATGCATCGAGAACTATAGCAATGGCGGAAAGACTTCTGTTTTTATTATCAATAGCCTTGAGGATCAATTACAATGACTTTGATGTGGAAAAATTGGCACAAATTTTGTATATTATAAATGTTTAATTTAAAATCTACCATTTAAAAGGATGTACTTCATATCTGCAAACACTTAGGAATCAACATCAGTTTCTACTTGAAGCCAAGTTCTCATACACTTTGCATTTAGAGATGTTTTTGTTAGAACACTAAAATATCTCTAAGATAGCAAAACGCATGGCTGAAAAACCAATGGGAGCATCTTCAAGAATATCTGTGATTAATATATTTGCATTTTTCTCATTTATTTCGCACTTGTAGTTGTTTTATGGGAACTCTAAAATATCTCAAAGTAAGGTTTTTACAAACCACTGGGCTGCCATATCGAGGAAAAGAAAGGAGGAGTAGGGTTGGAAAGGGGAATTTTCAAGCCGAAGATGACTGAAGTAAGGATCTCTGGATATTTATAATGAGTTAGGAATCATCCACTTGGCGAATAATGTATTAGCTAATGCAGGACCAGCTGTGGTCAATCATAAGCACATGATCCTCTTGAAATTAGTTTATATATAAACTTCACTTCAAGAGGAACATGTGATATGATGGATCTTGGCTGGTCTCTCATCTGTAATCATTAGTAATCCAATCAGATTATTCCAAATTCACAATAAATAGCCTGTCTAGCCTTACTCCCTTATCTTTGTTTTTTTGAAGAAGCCCCCATCCACCCCATCTCCCCTTTCCTCCTTTATCAAAGGGAGCTCTCGAGAACTATGATCTCGTACCCTCTTACAGGCTCATTGACCAGGCAAGAGTCCTGCCTCAATTGTTTCATCATGCCGAACCTCTTACTATTATAAATCAATATCTAAGTGGGAACTATCAAAATTTGTGAAATAAAATAGAAAATATCAACTTATTATACCTGTTTAATATAAACGAAGGTAAATGATTACCTGAATCAACAGCAATAACTTTCAAAACGTACTGGCTTTTCACTTCCCTATCAAGATCTTCTAAGATCTGGATGGTTCCATTGGAATGAAGTGAGAAAAGATTCTCATCATTTCCTGATTCTATAGAATAAGTCAGCTGACCATTAGCTCCCAAGTCCTCATCAGATGCATGAATCTACAAAATACATTTTCAAATCTTCATAAATGATTTAACAAAACATTATTATTTAAAGTAAGTGCATCAATGTTAAGACCTTACCTGATGTGTATGCTGAGAAGAGTCCTCCCCATTTTCCAAAACATGTATTATAAGGGATTCTGGTAAAAAATTAGGCACGCAATCATTGACGTCTAGGACTGTGATGTTGATAGTTGCTGTGGTGGATCTTTGAACATCTCCCTGGTCTACTGCAAAGACTGAAAAGCTGTAGAAAGGTGTCTTTTCACGGTCCATCTTCTCTATCACTAAAACTATACCTAAAACAGAGTCCACCATGAACCCACTCTCTGAGATAGAGAACCGGACCAGTCCATTCGGCCCAATATCCCGATCGCTTGCACCAACTTTTAGTAGAATTGTTCCACGAGGTGCATCCTCATATACTGAAAGGCTGTAAATGCTCTGAGTGAACTCTGGATTGTGGTCGTTCACGTCCTCAACAAGCACTGTGAGGTTCATTAAAGTGTACAATGGAGGTATACCTTTATCTTTGACTTTCAGCATAACTCTGATGACATCCTTGGTTTCCCTGTCCAACGGCTTCTGCAGGTAGACAACGCCGGTGGAACTATTTATACTGAAAGATTCATCTTTTGCACTTTCAAAACTAAAAACAAATTCACCATTAGATCCAGCATCAGCATCTGTGGCCTGTATGACAGTCACAGCAGATTGAAGAGGTGCGTTCTCTGGAAAACTAACTGTACTGGGTGTTGTGATAAAAGGGGGGTTGTCATTGACATCCTTAAGATAGATAGTTACATGCACTGAGCTTGAGAGACGAGTCTCTGTGGGTAAAGCATGATCATTGGCTTGGACAATAAGGCTGTACATTGCATTTGTTTCTCTGTCTAATTCAGCGATTAGGCACAGAGTTCCCTCTTGGTTTATTGAGAACTTATTCTCAAGATCTCCAGATGTCACCGCTAACTCCACTTCACCATAAATACCTTTTGGAGACAAGAGAATAAGCACTTGAATTACATTGGCCAACATAAATCTAGTTGTAATTCACTCACTAAGCAGGTGATATTAAAGGGGCAATTAACTGAAAAATTAACTACCCTGGTAATCATATAATTTTTAGATCTCGAAAAACAAACAAACATACGATACAAACATTTAACTCTGAACATGAACCATTTGTGGTATGAAATCAACTGCCCGTGATGGGAATCCCCCTCAAAAATTGTAATAGCTATTTAGTAAATATGTTTACAGTAAAATAATTTAGGGTAGCACCAATTTAGTTTCTGTTTGATACCAGCAAAATTATTATTTTTTAAATTATTAAATAGGGGGTGACGCAGTGGCGCAGTAGGTAGTGCTGTCGCCTCACAGCAAGAAGGTTGCTGGTTCGAGCCTCGGCTGGGTCAATTGGTATTTCTGTGTGTAATTTGCATGTTCTCCCTGCATTTACGTGGGTTTCCTCCGGGTGCTTCGGTTTCCCCAACAGTCCAAAGACAAGAGGTACAGGTGAATTGAGTAGGCTAAATTGTCTGCAGTGTATGAGTGTGTGTGTGGATGTTTCCCAGAAATGGAATGCAGCTGGAAGGCCATCCGCTGCGTAAAAACATGGTGGATAAGTTGGTGGTTTATTCCACTGTGGTGACCCTGGATTAATAAAGGGACTAAGCCGAAAAGAAAATGAATGACTGAATGAATGAATGAATTATTAAATAGGGCTGTCACGGTGCCTCACTGCGAAAGGTCGCTGGTTCGTGCCTCGGCTGGGTCAGTTGGCATTTCTGTGTGGAGTTTACATGTTCTATGTTTGAATGGGGTTTCCTTCGGGTGCTCCGATTTCTCTCACAGTCCTAAGACATGCGCTATGTTTATTTATAAACTATTTTCGAGAGGATCACATGCTTATGATTGAACACAGCTGGTACCGCATCAGCAGTTTGCACGTTTTCCCCGTGTTTACATGGGTTTTCTCCAGGTTTCCCGGTTTCCTCCCACCATCCAAAGACATACAGCAAAAGTAAAGTGACTACTCCAAATTGGCATCTTAAGACAACTCTTAGCCAGATAAATCTCTGAGCTCAAACTCTACTCTCGCCCTTCAAACGGGAGGATATTCTGAGCTCAGGGCTCTCTCCCCGAAGATGGTGAATCTTAAATTGAACCAGCTGCAAGCATTCATAAGCACGTGATCCTCTCAAAATTAGTTTATAAATAAACTTCACATAATTCAATTAACGTCATCGCATCATCACGCTATCCACATTTCCTCTGGAGTTTTATGTAATTTCGGGTGTTTTATTTTTAATTTGTCGACTTTAACTGCAGTTAAATTGATTCAAAATTGCTATTAACATGCAAGACTCTTAATCAGAGTATTGTCTTAATTGTTCTAAAATTATTATTGGTGTCTATGTAAACATACTCAATACAAATTATTTTGGTGATTCAAAATAATATTTTTATTCATTTAAATGTTGTTGTTTTTTACCAAAGCCAACAACAACACTTTATAGCTTAAAGAAATAAGAAAACAATTCTAGTTTTATAAAATTAACATGTTATCAGGAGCAAAAATGTGAATTTCACTGTGCACTATGCTTCAACCCGATCCTGAAATAAGAGAAGCCGAGAAAGAAGGTTCTTCATTATTAGCTGCAGTCAGCATCCCCAAGAGAGTGAACATTATTCATCGTCTTACAAAAGAGCAATGACGTAAGATTTAATGAGCCCACTTCAGTCTCTTCGGCATTTCCCAAAGCTTTTCAAACATATGAACATGGAGGTTCTAAGACTGAATAGGCAAAAGCCAGTTTTGTCCATTTTGCTATTTGTACATTGAATAGACTTGTTGTTACATCCTCGTTTTACTTTAATGTGTCTTAATTGTCTTAAAGATCAAATATTTTCAAAGAAAAAAAGGGTATACAGTATAATTCGTTCATTCATTTTCCTTCGGCTTAGTCATTTTATTCATCAGGGGTCACCACAGCAGAATGAACCGCCAACTTATCCAGCATATGTTTTATGCAGCGGATGCCCTTCCAGCTGCAACCTAGTACTGGAAAATACATAATTGCTTTTTAAAAAATCATTTAAATATATCATTTTATTTAAACAAACATTATAAATGTCTGTAATACCTTATTGCAGATCAAATTCTTAATACTTTAATTTACAAAAAAATAAAAACTAGTGTATGTCATGCAGTATTACCCTCATCTGGATCTGAAACATTCAGACTCAGGAAGCACATTCCAACAGGTGAGTCTTCCGGTATGGAGGCATAGAAAGCATTCTGGCTGAACACCGGTGGGTTGTCATTGACATTAATCACATTGAAGTAAACCCTGACTCTTATGAGCTCACTGTCCCCATGCTGAGCTCCTGCAGTCAGGATGTAGTAGCGCTCAATCTCAAAATCCAGAGCACGGGACAGGAGGAATTCTCCAGAATGTGGATTGAGAAGGAAAAGGCCATCGCCATCATCCTCCTGAACTGAGTACACTGAGGTTTTATTCTTCTCACTATATACTGCCTCCACATGTCCTACAATTGTCCCTATGAAGATGACAGACAAGGCAGGAATTGAGGACTTTAGCAGATTAACAGATTAAACAAATTAATTAAATTAAATGCATAAAACAAATAGATGAAATAAACGACATGGAAAAATAGCATTAGAGAATTGCTAAAAAATGTCAACATAAGTGATTAGAGTCAGTTCACCCAAAAATGAATACTCGGTCAATGTTTACTCATCCTTTTTCCAAACCTTTAAAGACTTTCTTTCTTCTGTTAAGCTATTTTGAAAGAAGTTGAATACATGTAACCTTTGACGTCCATATTATTTTATTTCTACTATAGAAGTTCATCACTAACAAGTTTTTAGCTTTTATCAAAATATCTTTTTTAGTGTTCAAAGGTTTGGAACCTCTTGAGAGTAAGTAAATAGTAAGTAAATTTTCATTTTTTGGGTGTACTGTCCTTTTAATCATGATTATAAAATCATAAGTGATTTACATGTGCAAATAATTTAACATTTTTGGCTTCACATGACATCACAGCAATAACCACACCCCTCAAATCAGTTCGAAAAATCATGTCTTGCCTTAAGTTTCTCCTTCTGTGCAAAAACTAAGCACGCACAGAAAACTGTATATTTTGTCTTTATCTTGAAAACATGTGAATTTATATATTTCAATTAATGCTTTACACATTTTAACTCATTTTTGATTCTTTATCTAATTTCTTTTAATATTTTTAATAGGTTAGTCTGACTTCAAGTGGTGCTGTACAGACTAATTGCCTTCTGATTTGAACCAAGACTGTAAAAAATTTTGTTGACTTGAGACAGTGCCAAAGCCACGTCACGAACATATTTTATCTTATGTTAGTACCCCAAGCGTAATTGGAGACCCAAAACTAGACAAGTCATCAAATACACAAGAATAAATTACTTCACATGTGAAGTCTGTCTAATCTCTTATATTAGACCTAAAGAATAGGCTATTCTTAGACCTCTATTACATTTTCCAAGTTTTTCATGTTTAAAAATTTATTAGACTTCTATTTAAGACAAAATTGCTTGATGAGAATGCACAAATGAATATTTTTTAATTAATTTAAGGATCATAAAATATTATATTATTTTATTAATATAGAAAAGTAACGCTCACCAGGAGGTGTGTCTTCTCTCACTTCGAATGAATATACAGATTTGGAAAATGATAGCTGTGTGAACCTTCTGCTACGAAGTGGAGCTAAGCCTGATTTTCTCATTGATGGTGGAGCTGAGATATTGAGCCACTTCTTCTCATTGCTGCAACCCGACTGTATACTCGATGAGCTGGTACAACAAGCACCATACACAGTAAAACAAAAGAAAATCTGTGGGAACAGAAGAAAAAAACACTGTTAAGAAAAACGTCTTAGCAAAAGTGTGGGGTAAGCAAGATGGAACATTTTCAACTGTTAAAACCCACATGACATGGCTCTTTGTGTGGGATCTTTTCTAAAAGTGGCAACCGTACACCTTGATTTGTGCAAGGTCTGTGCTTTTAGAGCTTTTGTGACTCTCCTTTTACCGGAGTATCCCACGCCAACCTGAATAAGTTTCTTTATATGGGTTCCCCAGGCACCTGCCTTTGTAAAGCTAAAATGTCAACTTAGATCCGGACAATCTGGTCTCCAAAGAGAGGCTCAGAGAATTTAACGGAATGTTCTAACACTGTTCAGCTGAACACACCATAAACTCCAAGACTTCATTACCATTTATTGATTAAAAAACAAATAATATGAGGTTTCTTTTGTCATTACAGCAGGCCCCTTTATTATACATTAAGTATATAGTTTGGAAATTATTTACATACACTTTATTAATATAAATATAGCATGACTTAATAACAGATTAAAGTATATTTAACTATATTAATCATATTTTAATATTACTATATTTCAATATATATTTAATATACTACTTTTAATTTTACAATATATATTTATATATATACACATTATCCGTGAATATATCTTTCATGGACTACTTTTATTAAGATTTATGAAGCATATGATATTCATAATATTCAGGAAACTGTACAAATTGTGTCACAAAACTTTTCACAGAAACGTTAAAAGTTGTTTTTTATTATTAGTATTACTTGTTCAAGAAATACTCACCGTATCGTGCGTGAGAAATAAACAAAGATGCATTAATCCAAACTTGTTCATCTTTGCTCCTGTCCATTTACCTCTCTACACAGATAAGAACTTTTCTCGGAAATAATTCATTTCTGAATATCCACTGGCTCTTTGTGTGCAGCATCTCTCTGTCCACTTTACAGTGTTTGTGTGTGTGCGCCTGGTCGGTCTTCCTGAGTGGACGTCGTGACGCTTTTATTGGCGCTTTCAAATTAGACACCGCGACCGCCTTTCTGACTGCAGCGCCAAAACACACAGGTAACGTCACTAAACTGAAAATGATGAATAATTATGGTCAAGTAAAAGCCTATAAAGTTATGCCGTCTTGTGCCTTAGATATTAATTCTATAACTTACTATCTAACGTCGTGTATTTGCTACATTGCCAGTTGTCGAGTTTACAAGTCGTATGTTTTTTTCAGTGGATTGATGCCATCTGTTTGACTAAATTTAATTTGAACGGACAATGATCTATTTAATTGTTCCCCCTCTCATATGGCAGCCAAGTGGTCTTGTGCCCTTCTTTCTTTTCTGTTTGAATTCAGAAGACGCCAGCATGGAACTCGCCCAAAGGGTGAATGAATGGAGACGAGCTGTAAACGAGGAGCCACCAGACAACCGTTGAACACCACAGAAAAGAAGAGAACTAATATTGTTCTTAGAGCAGATGAGATACTCCCAGACGAGTATGTTATATTATTTTTCAACTGTTTTTATACAGTACGATCGAGTAACTTAACCAGTTAAAGGCTTCCAATAGTGTCCATGTTTTTGGATTGTAGTTTACTGACTCCTATGGGTATACCTGGGTATTGGAGCGACAATTCAAAAAGTAGGCTACTTACCAGGCTACATAAATTGTAATAGAAAAAATGTATATTTGTTTTTACATCATGGTGGATTCCATCCCAGCAAACACAAATTCCCTTAATGTTCCAGAATTCATTGGATTTAAAAAATACAAAATAATAAATTTTGTAAATATAATAAAAAAAATTAAGTAAGTTGTTGTAAACAAGCCTTGGGCTTTATGACCCCGTGGGTATTAAAATCATATTACATAAGTGTACATAATTATATTTATTTAAAGATGGCATTTTGAATCCACAAAATGAATAGTGCTTCCATTAGTACCGGTGTTTTTGGACTTAGTTTATCGACTCCTATAGGCCTACACTGTAAAAAGGGTTGCAGGGTTCCACATTATTCATTCATGTTGTCCCAACACAAATCGATTAAGTTAACTTAACACTTTTAACAAATTCATGTGGATTGAATATATAAATTAAATCACAATGAAATATCAAGAATTGTGTTGTTTTAGGTCATTTTAATTAAGTAGTTTGAACAAATAAAAAAAATACTATTTTGAGTGTTTCTTTGTGCATGGATTGCTAATTCAAAAGGTAGGCTACTTATAGGCTATATAAAGTATAATACAAAAAATATGTATTGGTTTTCACAGCTTAGCTGGTCATGTGATGTTAACATGGTGGATTCCATTCTATCAAACACAAAACATTCCCTTAATGTCCCAGTTTTCATTGCATTTACTAAATTTCTTTAAGGTAAGTGGTTGTAAACATACACATTTATACAGTTGAAGTCAGAATTATTAGCCCCCGTTTGAATTTTTTCTTGTTTAAACATTTCCCAAATTATGTTTAACAGAGCAAGGGAATTTTCACAGTATGTCTGATAATATTTTTTTTCTGAAGAAAGTATTGTGGTTTCATTTCGGCTAGAAAAAGGCAGTTTTTAATGTTTTAAAAGCCATCTTAAGGTCAAAATTATTAACCCCTTTATATATTTTGTTCGATAGTCTATAGAGCACACCATCAATATACATCGACTTGCCTAATTACCCTAACCTGCCTAGTTAACCTAATTAACCTCGTTAAGCCTTTAAATGTCACTTTAAGCTGCATAAAAGTGTCTTGAAAAATATCTAGTCAAATATCATTTATTTTCTGTCATGGCAAAGATTAAATAAATCAGCTATTAGAAATGAGTTAATAAAACTATATTTTTCGAAATGTGTTGAAAAAATGTTCTCTTCATTAAACAGAAATTGGGGAAAAGATACACGGGGGGGTGGGGGGGGGTAATAATTGACTTCAACTGTATGAACTGAATTTATTTATTTAGAATTTTTTGCCTTTATTTAAAAAAAAAAAACAACAACAACAGAACAATAACCACAGATTACAACCAAAAAAATGTTTCAACATCACAGCACATAATGAAGACAAAAAAGACAAATAAAAATACATACCGCATTAATAATAATGATAATAATAATAATAATAATAATAATAATAATAGAATACACAAGTTAACCAATGTGTATGCGGATCTAAAGTTTTGCAAAATCCTGGGAGCTACATACTCAAGGAAAAGATCTGATAAAAAGTATCAATTTTTCACCTTAATCAGTGGGTAATATATTCCAATGACATAAGATCAGATATTACTTTATGCCATTCTGATACTGTCAGTGGTTTATCAGATATCCATTTAAGAAATATGCTCTAAGCATAAATAGTTAAACAACTTCCTGTGTGTTGCACTCTTAAAATTTTTATCAGCAGCACCAAATTAAATTTAGCAATGTTCAACTTGATTTGTTTGTTTAAATTCAGCTTATAAAGAATTGTTTGCAACAATCTGCAATGAACCATTTTTTCAGTGTAGTTTCAGTGTAGGTCATTTGGGGAACCAAAAAAGTTCATTCTGGGTATGTTATCTAAAGGGTTTGTCTCTCTCTCTCTTAAATGTTCAAGGGAGGGTTTTTGTAATATCTTAAAGAGAACATTTTGGGAACATAAACCTTTTCTGTCAAATCAACAGAGAATTTTCTGTGAATCAGAATCTGATTCTGTGATTCTGTGAATCCCAAACAATCTCCAAGCCAGAAATTGTGAGTTAGATGTAACATGTCTACAAACTCGGCCATGCGGTCAATCCTCTCCTGTGGCCTAATGGGATAGTAGTAGTCATTGTATACACTTCAGTATCTTGTCAAAAGCAGTAAGTTATCCTTGTACATTCTGCACATTTCCTAAATCTGTGAATCAGGCATACTACTCTTGTCGAATACAGAATTTTACTTAATGAGTAAGGGAGTATGTGTTTTTGAATGAACCCTATTAGCCTTGGGACTGATGACCCCATGGGTATTAAAGTCATATGACATAAGTGTACATAAATATATATTTTTTCAAATATGGCACTTTAAATCCACAAAGTGAGTCTACATTTGGTGAAAGTATTTGTAGAATAAATCAATGTCTTAGAAAATAGTCAAATGTACACAAGTGTGTTCATTTCATACAGGCCTATTGCTAGTGATCCACTAACCAGTTTTTAAACATATTTAAAGCTGAACTAAGCATTAGAATAAGCAAATAAGCACATTAAGTGAAATTCTCAATCATACATCTGTTTTTGTGACATTTTGGTTTACTTTTAGCCCAAGCTGTTTTGTTTAAAGTGCTTCCAAATCTAATTTAAAATCCAGACGCTGTTTTTTTGCATCAGTGCTTTGTCAATAGCAATCAAAATGCTCCATTAACCACATTATTTAAGTGATTAGGGTTTTAATTAACCATCAACTGCACTACCGAAGCGCCCTCTGGCGGTCTGCATAATTATTCCAGCTTTGAGATAAAATATGTGTTGCCATCTTTCTCCTCCAGATAATTGCCTGTAGGCCAAGAAATTAATAGGCAAGTCTGTCCGCAAGTGACGTATGTTTTTGAATTGAGTTCTAACATATGCAGCACGATTAATACATTCCAATATGAAATGCATTTCTCTGCTAGGCCTGGTATTATCCCATTGTCTATGCATTATATCAATAGATGCATAATAATTATAGCAACCAATAAATGTGGTTATAACTTATAAGCATAAATATTTGTCACTATTTAGCAACAATGCAGGTGCACTTACAATGCACTGAATGCCTGCTTTAGAATATACTGCTGTATTGATTCTGTCCTTCACTGCAGCATTAGTCCTTGTGGATGACGCCAAGGTGAAACCTGAATAAGATGACATCATCGATGCATGTGAAATAGTAAACAAAGCATTTACACATCACGGCCACAGGGCGTCGTTGTATTCTTGTATTTCGAACACAATTATTTTTCTTGTTCATTCACATATTGAAGAAAAAAAATTAGGTTATCTTTATGATATATCATAAGAGTGAGAATATGTATAATTTCATTTCCGAATACAGACTTTTCTTGTTTTCTGATTGTATACACCATGAAGAATTTATGCCAAAGCAAGCACAACGAATGAAGGTGAATATTACACAATTGCATAACTAATGAAGGTCTATATTATACATCAAAATTGCAAAAAAAGTTTTTAAAAATTGAAAAATTTTTTTTAAATGACTAATGCATATCAGTTCTTTGTCAACTTTAAAATATTAATTAACCAGTTCATAGAACAATGCAAACACAGACCAATCAGACTTAGATGAGTCAGAATATCTCATATTTGGTACAATTACTTCAAATATAAGTATAATAGTTTATTAGAATAATTTATACATAATAGTGTAGTATATTTTGATATATTTATTTATTATTTATATATTATCATTATAATTCATTTTCCTTCGACTTAGTCCTTTTATTCATCAGGGTCGCCACAGCGGAATGAACCACCAACTTATCCAGCATATCTTTTACGCAGCGGATGCCTTTCCAGCTGCAACCCAGTACTGGGAAGCATCCAAACACTCATTCACTGCGACCAATTTAGTTTATTAAATTCACCTATACCCCATGTCTTTGGACTGTGAGTAACCAGAGCACCCGGAGGAACCCCACACCAACATGGGGAGAACATGCAATCAGAAATGCCAACTGACCCAGGCAGGACTTAAACCAGCAACCTTCTTGCTGTGAGACGATAGTGCAAACCACTGAGCCCCCGTGTCACCCTCTATTATAATAATAGTAAATATATAATAGTTTATTGATTTTACTAAAATAGCCATGGAAGAAAAAAACAGGACAGTTTTCTTAAAAAAAGAAATGTTTAATTCAGACACATTCTTAAATGTCAAACAAAACTGCATTCTTGTAATTAGAGTGGTATTCAAAGTACAGTTAAAGGACCTTATGACTGCAAATACGAAAAATATTTGTAAAAACTAATATGATAGTGCACTACAGATCTACATAAACCAGATAATTGTGCTGTGCACCTTCAGAGAAACAGTACAGTTTATATTATTCAACCTTAAACTGTTCCTGGCAAGAACTACCACTAACAAAAACAAAGATAAAAAAATAATAAGACTCGAGACACATAGTGTTAACTTTACAAAAGGAGAATAACACTGTACATCTTAAAAACGTCGCATATACACAGCCTAACCATTCTTGTATCTGCTGTATTACGTTTGAAGATGTGAATCATGTACAATTGGGGTTATGGCATGAACAAGAACCTAGGCCACATCAGTAGCTAATCTACTCATCATCCTCCTCCTCTTCGTCGTCCTCCTCCTCATCGTCGTCTTCATCCTCCTCATCATCCTCCCCACCTTCTTTCTTTGAAAAGCCTGCAATTCCCTTTGTGCGGTACAGGGCAATATCCTACAGAAGATAAAAGCATTAACAAATGAGGCAAGTGCATCTACAAGCTAGCAAGTAAATGTAGGAAAAGGCTGCTTTACCTTGTCGTACTTCTCCTTGAGCTTTGCGGCTTTCTTTTCATAGGGCTGCTTCACTTCAGCTGATGAGCTGTTCCACATTTCTCCAAGCTTTTTGGCAATGTCGCCGATGGACAGACCAGGGTTTTCACCCTTTATCTTAGGGCGGTAATCACCACAGAAAATGAAGAACGCTGACCTTTGGGGGAAAAAAACATGCATTCAAATCAACCTATTTGTTCCCTTCATGCTTTCAATGGAAGTGCAAAGAGTGAACGTACGGTGGTCTCTTGGGTGCGTTGGGATCCTTAAACCTCTTCTTCTTCTCACCCTTTGGTGGGATGTAGTTCTTCATTTCCCTCTCATAGCGAACCTTATCTTGCTTGGCCATATCCTCAAACTTGCCCTTCTCTTTGGCAGACATTGTCTGTTCAGAATGAGAAAAGGCTTTAACAAAAGTGTAAGGTGTGTGTCTTGTTCGTTACTTATTTCTAAATGTCACCTTTTTTCCCCCCAAATATTCCTTAGAAAAATCAACAAATGTACTATTTTTATAACAGCATAATATTCATCCAGTACCTTCCATCGCTCTGAACACTTCTTGGAGAATTCAGAGAAGTTCACACTGGCTTCAGGGTGCTTCTTTTTGTGCTCCTCACGACAGGTTTGCACAAAGTAGGCATAAGAGGACATCTTTCCTCTGGGCTTCCTTGGATCTTTACCCATCTTTATCCTCTGGAAAACAAAATATTCTAAAATAAGTGAAAGTGACATGCTATAATGACTTATAATACGGTTTCTTATTTAATTAATTGGTATATTAACATATGATAAATGAGCATCATGTCATGTGCAAGTAAAGTGTCTTAGTTAATATTTCGAGTAATTTAATAAATTTAATTTAATATTTTAGGTTCTTTAGCTCTATAAAATGCTATGTAGTGTATGTAGTTTTCAAAACAGTGACATATACAAAAATATATAATATACATAGTGAGCAAAGTGTCTACTTTAATGATTTAAGTATTTTTTGTGAACATAATAGAAACATGGGTGAAACTCAGTTTTTTCATCATCCAGTGTAGCAGACACATTTATGTAATATAGAAACAATGTACAAAAAAAATGACTGTCATGTACATATATATATACACATATATATGCACGTGTATATATATGTGTGTGTGTGCAATAATACTAGGTTAAATGTTATTATATTTTAAAAGATAAAAACAAAATGGGTGAAGGAGTACATTGTTGTGTTTTCAAATAACGTTATTTCTGTAAATATACAAGAAAAATATGCTATATAAACTACTTTTTAGTCATGATGACACAATCTAATATATGTAATAAATTAAACCTTTATAAAAATTTTATTGTTTGATGCTTATAAATAATCCAGTTGTGTATATTGATATCTGCATGATGAGATGTACATTGAAATCGCATTACGAAGATGGACGCTGAGATGCACAAAGACCGCCTCAGGTTCACGGTGAAAGACAAGGACATCCTCCATTAGACGAATAAAAAATGCCATATTTGATGGTTTCATATTAATTCACACTCTTTTATTTTACTTTATGTATATCATGCATTAATGCAACATTTGCATAGTTTTCTACTAAAAGCGGGCAGATACATCATATAGGGCCCGCCTTAAAATGCCTAATCGGTGCAACAATAATATTTCTTCTTCCATTTTGAAAAAGCCGTCTTCATGAGAGAAAGTCCCCCTCAATTGTCTCCTCCCACATTCCTGGGTAATTTCGAGGACCCAAAATCACCGCACTTGGTCCGTTTTTCGCCTCTGGCCCGCCGCTTTGCGATATTATCGCCTCTCCTATGGAAGAAGTCGGTCTATGGACACAGTGTCTGTAACTATAAGCGCTTTGCAATGGGAGTTTCGCTCCCGTAAGGCCGCCGTTCAACTGGAGCCACATGAGCACAGTTAGCAGAGCCAACATGGCTCTCTCTCTCTCTCGCGCTCTCTCTCTCTCCCTTTATGTCTGCTAGGCAGAGCTCAATACACAAAACACCGGCGGTGGAAAACAGTAAAAATACTATTTTACTACCTCTTTCAAGGTCGAAAAACACTAGCATTCACTAAAACATACGTTCGGGCTTTCTAACGAGCTGAAAAAAGCACCGCAAATGAGCTTGGTTTAATTTTCTTTCTTTAGTTAAGTTGAACGCCGCTTACACCCCGTCAGTCTCCATCCCCCGCCACTCACAAGCAAAACGCACAGACTATCCTCCGCAAGCCAGCCATATTATATTACAGGACACGGCCGCACACGTCCCGTTGTGAATGACCAAAGAGAAAACGCATAAAACGACGAGCACACTCCCTGAGGACCGATGAATCTGCCCGCGGTGTTATTTTAGTCTGTACGTGAGAACGCCTCGCACGTCACTGCCTCACACAATAACAGCTTTAACTGAGACCTCAAAAAGCTAACTGCTTTAGCTGGGATGGCTACCTGACAAATATTACAACCCATCCTATTAAAGAGAGCTAGAATACTGTCATTTCTAAAGAAAAATAGCAGCAATGTATTTTTCTCAGAAGATTTTTTCCAGTCAGGACATTTCACTACTAAGCACTGACTGAATGACGGGCGAATAGATCTGACAAAGATTGGTCACTGCGTTCACCAAATACGCAACTACCAAGGGAAATTACGACGTTTTTTGAAAAAATTATTCATTAAGGACTTGACAAGCATATTTTGACAAAATTCACCAACCTTCTCTATCTGCAGCTTCTGTGGATGCCTAGATAATGGGGCTTTGAAGTACAATAACACCGATGCGCGCTCTTCCAAGTGCGTGTTGAGCTCCCCGTTCACGAGAGACACAGTCTACAGTCACGAATCCTATTGGCTACCGCCAAGTCTTGAACGCCTGTGATTGGCTGCCGGCGCACTATAGTCCCTACGATAGCTGAGCTGTGGTTGGCTGTTCGTTGGCTCAACGTCATTTATTTTCAACGGCGCGTGAATATGAAAAACCATCCATTGGAGCAAGTGTAATGGTATGAGACACCATTTGTACTGCTATAGACTTACTGTAGTACATGTACATACACCGTTAACGTTAAAGGAAAGGTTTTAAAGTATATAATGGACATTTGCAATAAGTCCATTGTATTTAAAGTATTTTACAGCAAAACTACGCATCAGTAACTGTCGTAAGAAAAAAAGATACCATCAGGGTGAAAATGATGGAGACGTGGAGGGGTCTGGCTCTTTAAACATCCATAGTGTTGTAAAACAATCTGTTTTAAGAATTAAACAAATTTAAATCTGCATATTAGCTAATTCAGAAGCATTGCAGACATTCTCTCTTAAGTAACATTTCATTAACTACTGTCAAATTTAACATTGATTAATAAATTAATTATAATTATTTGTTATCGTTATTTTTTTTTATTTTACAAAGCTGTTATAAACAGATTTAACAAACATGAGATCTAAGAGGAATCACCTTATCTATAATAATGCCTATAATAATTTTTATAATCAACAATCATTTTTATGCCTATAAAATTAATGACATCATCGATTGCATTCGTTAATTTAACGTGAAATAAATGAGTACATTTGTTTATAATCAAATTTTAAAATAATTTTGGTAGCTAATGGATGCAATAAATTTTATAGGGACAAAATGTTTTATTTTATTAGCTATTATCGTTGTTATAGTTAATTGTTTTTCAATATAGTGTTTTTCCATTCTTGATGATATGTACTAAATAATTGTATCCTTATTCATGAAGTGTGGATTTTTCATTGTTGTCTTAGAAATAGAGGGATTGAAAATGCAACATATGAAGTTTTCCACTGAGCGGCGCTACGCCCTAATGAAATATAAATATCTCCTGTGTGGTCGGAAATGAAAATCTGTATATTTGACCGGATTTGTTTCTTCAAAGTTAAAGAGTTGTTTTATTTGCTTTGAGTGAGAAATATATGTGACAATAAATGCAGCTCTCGTGTAATTATTGCATGTTTTTTTTTTTTACATGGAAAATGTATTATTTAGCTGACCTTAAACCATAACCTTATTGTGCTGTTCTTTTAACACATTTTCAGCGGGTTTTGGGGTTTACGTGCATCCCTCATCCTCTGTAAAAAATACCACCGGAGAGCGTCAGATTGCCATCGCGAACCTGTTGTGCGTCTCCTATAACAACACCAGCTCATAAAACCTGTCATTACTCATTGGCCGTTCAGACCAGCTGAAAACTTTTACAAGTTTTTTTTAAGTATTTCAAGTTGTCAAAAGAAAACGTCCAAGCAGGATTATAAATAGTTCGATTCCTGAAGCGATGTGACAAGCAAAACGACGAGTTGTGGACCAAGCAGATTCTGGACGATTCACTGTACAAGAGTTAAAGACAACCATGGCAAAATGTAAGACATGTTTATTGCAAATAAATAAATAAAATTTCTTTTATTTTAGAAAGATTAATAAATTGTTTGGGCGATATGCTGACTTAGTGGGTAGCACTGTCGCCCAACAGCAAGAAGGTCGCTGGTTCGAGCCTCAGCTGGGTCAGCTGGCATTTCTGTGTGGAGTTTGCATGTTCTCCCTGTGTTTGCGTGGGTTTCCTCCGGGTGCTCCGGTTTCCCCCTCTGTCCAAAAACATGTGCAATAGGTGAACTGATTACACTAAATTGTCCGTAGTAGGTATATGTGTGTGTAAATGAGAGTGTATGGGCGTTTCCCATTGCTGGGTTTGCAGCTGGAAAGGCATCCACTGTGTAAAACATATGCTGGATAAGTTGACGGTTCATTCCGCTGTGGCAACCCCGGATTAATAAAGGACTAAGCCGGAAAGAAAATGAATGAATTAATAATCAATTGTTTCTTTCACCTTGTTTCAATCTAGATGTCAACAAAAAATGGGAAGCATTTGAGACCTCTCATGAAAGAGATTTTATTCATAGACCCATCTTACCTCTATCAATAAGGTGAGTGCCTGTTAACAGAAGAAATGCACTTGTCAGGACATTTAACAAATAATTTTATTTTAATTCAAATACTAGGCCAAAAACATCTGTCAGGGTCATTAGAAATTCATACATACTGGACAATCCAGTGGGTGCAACTGTATACAGTGAAGACTTCTGCTCGAGGCCTGTGCCAAAGACGGCTTGCATAAGATCTGCAACAGCATCAGGAAACAGAAGAAATAACCCGCACCCAAGCAAGGTCAATTGGCAGATTTTGTCATTTATTCTGTTTTGATAGTGCAAATGTATTTAATGGGGTATATGCTCAGCTAGTGTTTTTTAACCAATGATAAACGTTCAGTGAAAGCTTAATGTGACTATATTCAGTTTCATTAGGTTTCTTTTACAGCATCAATGTTGTAATGTAATTACAGTACATTTAGTTAAAGAGACTTAAGCATTCATTTAGTTGTTCAAGCATAGCACAAGATGAAAGACCGTGTAACCACTAGTGCCATCAGGATCAGCAGGCGAGCACAGAAACTCCATTGAAAATATATTTTATTATTAAGACATAGTGGGGTTGAAATAGAGTTTAATGCAGTGCTTCCTGTCTGGTCTGAGACCCACTTTATATTGCATATCTAACAGACAGTAAAGATCTCATATTTTTAAAGAATTCAGACCTTAAACATGACATTTTATAATGGAAAAACAGTTCACCCAAAGCGTTGAGGCTGCCTGGCTGAAATTAAAAGTCTGTGTGTATATACCCCATTAACAGCCACTTTATCAGGTTCATCTGTTCAACTGCTTATTAATGCAATCTCTAATCAGTCCATCACATGGCTGCAACTGAATTTGTGAATTTGTAAAAAGTGAATTTTGGCATGTTGGTCAAGTCAATCTGCTAAATCTTAAACCAAGTTTTAAGAGATTTTAGAAGTGGTGCCAGACAAGCTGGTTTGAATGTTTAAGAAACTGCTGATCAACTGAGACTTTCACACACAATCATCTCCAAAGTTTACGAGGGTCACAACATTTGGACAGCAGAAAAATTGAAAAAGTGTTGCCTGGCATGATGAGTCTCAATTTTTGCTGCATCGTTCAAAAAATAGGATCAGAATTGTGCATATACCTCTCAAAAGAATGGATCCGTTCTGCCTTGTATTAATTTTGCTGGTGATGTATTGTGTGGGGGATGTTTTTTGGCAGACTTTGGGCTATTTAGTGCCAACAGAGCAATTCTTAAACACCACATCCTACCTGAGTACTGTTGCTGACCATCTAAATCCTATGACCACAGTGTGCCCATCTTGCTATAACAAGATCTCAATCCAATAAAGCAGACTCAAGACTCAATTCAAGTCATCATTATTTCTCTTGGACTTTTTTCAATGTAGATTGTGTCAGAGCAGATGAACAGAATAAATGCCATAAATTATTTTAGATTATGGAACATTCCAGCAAATCAGGCAGGCATGAGCAGAGTTCGCGTCACATATGTGCAGCTGGCGATTCTGTTGCAACTGAGTAATGCTATTATTTTAGTATGGACTAAATTATATGAGAAATGATTCTAAAACATTGATGAATCTATGCAATGAAGAATTAAAACGTTTTTTAGGACAAAAAAAAAATGTCCAACCCAGTACCATCAAGGTGTACCAAATAAAGTGGCCATTGATCATAATTTGAAAGTGTCTCATGTAAATGTGAGCACATCAAAACAACTATATATTTGTATTCTGCGAAAGAAACAAGCCATACAGATTTGAAAATCAAAATCAAAATGTGCTGTATCAACACAGGCGTTCATGATATGGGGGCATTCTGCAGATCATATGAAACAGTTTGATGGCAGTTCCCCTCTGCAAATCAATTTAACTGAGAAGGAAATTCAAAAGGCTTTAAGTGATCAGTGCATGTCGACATACAAATCTGACTTTCTTGGATTACCTCAAGGTAAGGTTTTGGAGTTATTGTACAGAGACTAATTCAGTTTTTATGCATTGAAAGTGTTATTTAATATTAACATAACACAACATAAGATTTAAAGACTGATGTAGATGTTACTATTACTCAAGCATCTCAGTGTTTTTTTATTGTATTCTGTCAAAATCACAGTGATCATGAAGAAAAATGCCTTTATTGTGCCTTTTAAACACAATCAAGCTGTCCATTACTTCACCCAAACTGAAATGAGACACAACTATTGCTCACCCATTATTAAACCTGAGCTGTTGGGGAACACCACTCGCTATGGATGCAATAAACTGCATGGTGTAGCGGCAAGGGGAATTGGTAAGCTTCTGCTAATTTACAACATTTCTGTATCTGTGGACTATTAATACTTGTTTGTTCGGTTAGTTTCAATTTAAGAGGTACACTATTCAAATACTGTTATCAAAACACCACTATACCAGTGTGTCACACAGGTTAAAGAGGAATAACATTTTTTATTTGAGTTCCTACAGTTGATCACAGTCACATCGATAAACAGGAGCGCAGCAAACTACAGAGCACATACAATAAACATTTTGCAAGAAAATATACAGATGTCTCCTCAGGGCTCAAGTCAGTCTCACCTGAGACTGTTCTGCAGTTTTGTAAGACACTATCCAATAAAGGTAAGATAGTTTGATACTGTGCATTCTTACTGAAACATTACAATTGAATGCATTAAAGTCTAGTTTAAGTCAGAATTATTAGCCCCCCTTTGATTTTTTTTTTTTAAATATTTCCTAAATGATGTTTAACAGAGCAATGAAATTTTCACAGTTTGTCTTATAATATTTTTTCTTCTGGAGAAAGTCTTATTTGTTTTATTTCGGCTAGAATAAAAGCAGTTTTTTAAATTTTTAAAAACTATATTAGGGACAAAAATATTAGCAACTGTAAGCTATTTTTCATGATAGTCTACAGAACAAACCATCGTTATACAATAACCTGCCTAACTACCCTAACCTGCCTAGTTAACCTAATTAACCTAGTTAAGCCTTTAAATGCCATTTAAAACTGTATAGAAGTGTCTTAAAGAATATCTAGTCAAATATTATTTACTGTCATCATGGCAAAGATAAAATTAATCAAGTTATTAGATTTATTAAATTAATCAAGTTATTAGAGATGAGTTATTAAAACTATTGTGTTTAGAAATGTGTTAAAGAAATCTCTGTTAAACAGAAATTGGGAAAAAGATTAAACGGGGGCGAATAATTTAGGGGGGGCTAATAATTCTGACTTCAACTGTATGTGTTATGCTGTTTCAAAAGTTCCTAATTAGTTTCGGAGGTCTCTTACAATAGATATGCATCCATCAAAGGTCATAAATCCCCTGAATATTCTCATTATAAAATTGCATTATCGCTATTTTTTCCTCAGTTTGTTCAAAGATCTGGTCTCAACCTCTTCTTTCGGATAGCATACTATCCGCTTTTTAAGTCTGACATCACTCAAAACATCTTCCATGTCCAAGCTCTCTATCAAACTGTACAGGGAAACTCAACAAACATTACTAATAATACAGTAATCATACAGCTTTGACCCAGAAACAGTATACCATCATGACTTAAGCATAATTCTCACAGTATTGTAAAATATATGTATGTGCTAAGTATTTTTATTTATTTTTTCCCAGAAAAGAAGGAAGTGAAGTCACTACACATAACCAATCCCTCTGCTTATGGATGCAAACTGGAGAGGATGTCAGCCTGGCCAGGACCTTTATGAACATGCCATCGTGAACTGTGAAAACACTCAGTCTCTTTATTGTACATATTCAAATGATGTGTTTAATAATACACTGAAAAATGTTTAATAGACATAACCCTCTACACAGTGGTAATAACTTCTTTTTTTAGCAATAGATTCTCTATTACAAAATAGATTTCAAAAATAATGTTAAGTATTTGTTTATGGAGAATAATGAATCTCTTGAAAAATCTATACTATATAATAAGGCATGCAATATATTTTTAAGGATCTTGGCACAATAAAGGCATTGGATACATACTGTGTAATGTCTGGTAACCATTTCAATGCTAGTCATTTTGCAGTAGTCGGATGTGCACAACAAGGTGTGAAAAAGAAACACTATTTAAAAACCACAGATATCTTACTGAAATACTTTTCAGAAAAGTGAAAAATTAAGAGCGTCATGTTATGGCAAACAGACATTTCTGCATTGGATTGAATGAGGCTCTTGTTACACTGCATGCGCAGACACCCCGCTGTGTTTTGTATATCAGGTAACCTGAGACTCAGGTGTGCTCTGTCTCTAAGCTCTCTAAGCCATAGATCGTGCAGCAAAACAAGCAAGCAGCCTCTAAGGAGAACGAAAGTCACACTGAGAAGACAAGAGTCTCTCTCAGATCTCTCCCGATATGCCACTAGGCAGGAAAATTCGGGCCTCATCTGCTGGAGCCCAACTTGAGACCCATAACAAGCCCAGGTATTCTGCTTTATTCTGCTTTTTATTGATCTATATCTGAACAAAGCGTCCTGTTCCCTCGTTTAAACATTTAATTTGCTCAGCACCACTTTGACGCAGCTTCTGATGCAGAGACTCATTTGTTCTGCTTCACGGCTTTCATCTCGGTATGAGGTCTGGGTTTCGCACCACATTGATATTCAGTCATTTTGCAGCACCTGACCTTGAGATACACTCCTCCTGTTGTTCATAATGTTTACTGTTGCCAGGGAGTAAGGAAGATGGTTGATGTCGGTGCCTTGCTGGAACATTGTATCAATCAGTTTGTGTCCTTGAGGATTAATTCATTTATGTTTTGACAGACAAATATGGAGATGTTTCTTGGCTCCAATTTGATTTGGCTTAACCCACCCTTGGCTTTAGCTTTGCAAAATGAAATTTAGGAAGCGCTAAGTTTTCTCTTATTAGAGTGAAGTGAGATATGCTTGCCTTTGTTTATTCAGATTAGCATGGCATACAACACCACACACACACACACACACACACACACACACACACACACACACACACACACACACACATATATATATATATATATATATATATATATATATATATATATATATATATATATATATATATATTTTTTTTTTTTTTATAACAGAACTGATGCTTTATGGTGGAACTGTATTTGCTCTTAGAAATAATGGTTCTCTTTTGATGTTGATTGTTCATTGATTTAATGATTCAAAAACTTTAGCAAGCATAAAAACTTTCCATTGCACAAAATATCTTTAAATGATTTTACACTAACAAACTGCTTTTGAATTGTTTATTTTCAGTTGTTTCATTTATTAAGATAATCTTCCCAGTTCACAAGAACATTTTTCAATTATTCTTCTTTTTATTAAAAATTGGTTACTTCAAAATTGTAAATTTATTTACAACTATGAATACAATTTTTGTTTTACAATTTTTAATTTTTAGACATTAAATAAATTGTATAGTTAAACTTTCATTGTGAAATATAAACAAATACAACTAAAAATTGCAACAAATATAAGTATATATATATATATATATATATATATATATATATATATATATATATATATATATATATAAAATATAATATATATAATATAATAAAATTATTTCACTCTTTTTGAGATGTGTTCTCTAGTGTACAGCTATCTTTATGGGGACTTCCCATAGATCTAATGATTAGCGTATTGTTCAAACTGAATCCCCCTACCCATAACCCCAACCCTTGAAGGAAGCAATCTGCATTCTTACATTTTCTAAATACTCCAGTCTATGTGATCATGAGCCATTTTCCTTATTGGGACCAAAACGTGAAATTCTAGTTCAAACTGTACTAGTATTGCTTTACTTTTTTAGTTGTAAGGAATACAAAGTGCACACACACATGTTGGTATCCGTGGTTTACAGGGACTCTATGTAAATGTACAGGGTGTTTCAAAAAGAATACCACAACTTTGAAAATCGAGAACTCTGCAAAGAAGTTCTTTCTGTTGTCGATTTATGGAAGCTCTGAAGTTTTGAAAACTTTAAGTACTCTTCACATTGATTAATTAGTCATGGTTCCATTATGTTTCTTTGATTAAAAAGAAATTTTCAAAGTTGTGGTATTCCTTTTGAATCACCCTGTATTTTATTTATTAAAACACTTTTTATATGGCCTTATCCCACCCCAGACCCTAAACCCAACTCTCACAAGAAACCCGCCAAAATTTTATTGTCAAAAGACCGTTAAATATGATTTTGAAGCATTTTGAATTACAAGGACATCAGGTGTGTTTTTGTAAACCAAAATAACTATTTCATACTCATGTCATTATACAAAAAACAGTCCTTGTAATCCACCAAAACCAGTAAACACACTAAATAAAATATTCAGTGCACCACGCTTATGCTTTTATTCAGTATCTCAACAGAGTTTGGACAAGTGCATGGAGCTGCTTGCCTGAATCAGAATTGGGGTGCAGAGTACAAACATCAGACTAACAGGGTGTTTTCTTATAATGGATCCATATTCAGCTATTTAGATGCTGCAGAGAGGAGCCAGCAACTTCCGGATTGGCTTGAGAGAGAGCTTTTGAGGGAAGAGCCCAGACGACACTCTTATGCCCTGGGAGATGATGCTAAACTCAACATGCGACAGTTTTACAGAGTGGATCCTGCTGGCTCCCTCTATGAGCTCCAGGTAAAAGTCAAAGGGTCAAGCTTATGAAGCATCTGCTACTTGGCTGAATTTGCCAACAATTATATTCCACCTAGATTGAATGGCAGTTTGCCCTAGAATTATGTTTCACAGGCCAAGGTATGGAAATGAATTGTTTTAATGATAAGAGGAGATTGGGCAGCTGGGTCTGCCTAAATTCATAATATTGCATATGAAATCAAAGTCTTAATATGCTTTCATATAGTATTTTAAAATTTAATGTTAAAGGAATAGTTCATCCAAAATGGTAAATTCTGTCATCATTTACTCTCCCTTTACTTCCCTGTAAAAATTATATGAACAATTAGTCATGAGAGCATATGTTTTTAGTTCATTGTAACTTATTAAACTAAGTTAATATGTTCTTACCTAATTATATAAGTTATGCAAGCAGTTTCAAGTCACTTTAACATAAGTTCAATGGACTCAAAAAGTTAATCTGATTCAGCTTAAAAAATTAAGACAATCAGGATTTTTTTTATACAGTGCTGTCATGAATCTGTTTGAGATTTTTTATTATTATTTTTTTTTTGCTAACGTTAAACTCAAAAAAGTTATTTTGAAAAATGTTGGAAGCCTAACCGTTGACAAAGACTATAGAACACACTTATACTTAAAGGATCTTTGCCGTTGACTTCCATAGTATTTGTTTTCCTGTATAAGTCAATGGTTACATGTTTCTACCATTTTTGAACAGGATGTGTTTAACAGAAAAAAAGAAACTCATAATGGTTTGCAACCACTTAAGGGTGAGTAAATACTTAAATTTTTGGGTGAACTATCCCTTTAACTTATTATGTAACCCCGCCCACTCTCATTAGACCCCGCCTTTGCACAGTTGGAATCTTCTTGTTTTGCATTTTTTAAACTCATTGATCTGACAGAGCCATAAACAGACCCCAGATTGAAAACTACATCAACTTTAGGTATGTTACAGGGTGTGAATTTATCTTTTAATATCTTTTATATTCTCCTAAACATGATAAATTAGTAGACAAGATTAGTTAATTGCAGTTTTTAGGTGCTAGGCTTTTGATATGGAAGTAACTGCCATTTTATCCAATCAACTTCTTAACCTCAAGATGTCAGTAGAGTAGTGGGTTGCTCTTCCCATATTAACTAAACCTTCATTAAATATGCCCAAATCAAATCATGAACTTTCAGCAGCCCTAAATTGCCTAAAATGACATTTTAAATCAAGTACAGAATCCATTCATTCATTAGCTGGATGACCTTTGGATGGGGAGCCATTGCAGGGTAATCTGTCATGACTACTGATTGGACAAATGACAAGTTAGACATGCATTATTTATTTCAACAAAGTGCCTGAACTTGCCCTTAGTAAGCAAATCAATTACTTTTTCCTTATCAAGCCCAAATTTGTTTGCTCTGGAGCTAATTTGCCATCTGACTGCACACTGAAAGAGGCATGAAAGTTATAATCTGTATTTATCAGTGAAAGTGAGCAACTGACTACAAGCCGGGACACTGCTTACATTTTTCAGTATTGTGACAATAGCTCAGCTGTTTCCAGGAAACTGATATGTTCGCTTTGCTGTTTAATGCCATCAGCCTAATGGAAATCCTTATTGCTTTTGTGGCAGATGCAATACTTATTATCAGTTCCTTGGCCAGCTGGGAATGCTAATTTACACATTTTATTTCAGATTTTTATATAGGCCATTTTCAAACAATAAATTGATGTCTGCGGTTGCTTGAAGAAACGTTTGTGTTTGTTCTGTATAACAAAATATAGTCTTGTCTTAATTAATGTTAATTCAAGAATCATAACTTCTATTCGAGTAACACATTCATTTGTTTAATTTTTTTTAATGCTTACATATTTACACTCACCGGCCACTTTATTAGGTACAGTCCAACTGCTAGTTGCACACATTTCTAATCAGCCAATCATATAGCAGTAACTCAATGCAATTAGTCATGTCATGATCAAGACAATCTGCTGCAGTTTGAATTGAGAATCAGAATGGGGAAGAAAGGTGATTTAAGTAACTTTGAAGGTGGCATGGTTGTTGGTGCTAGACAGGCTAGTCTGAGTATTTCATAAACTGCTGATCTACTGGGATTTGCACGCACAACTATCTCTAGGGTTTACAAAGAATAGTCCGAAAAAGTGAAAATATCCAGTGAGCAGCAATTCTGTGAGTGCAAATGCCTTGTTGATGCCAGAGGTCAGAGGAGAATGGCCAGACTGGTTCAAGCTGATAGAAAGCCACAGGAACTCAAATAACAGCTTGTTACAACTGAGTTATGCAGAGGTATCTCTGAACGCACAACAAGTTGAACCTTGAGGTGGATGAGCAACAGCAGCAGAAGACCACACTGGGTGCCAGTTCTGTCAGTTAAGAACTGGAACCTGAGGCTACAATTTGCAAAGGTTCACCAAAATTGGACAATAGAAGTTTGAAAAAAAACGTTGCCTGGTCTGATGAGTCTCGATTTCTGCAATGGTAGAATCAGAATTCGGCATCAACAACATGAAAGCATGGATCCATCCTTCCTTGTATCAATGGTTCAGGCTGATTCTGGGGGTGTAATGGTGTAGGGGATATATTATCGACACAATTTGAGCCCGTTCATATCAATTGAGCATTGGTTCAATGCCACAGCCTACCTGAGTAACGTTCATGACCATGTCCATTTCTTTTCTTCTAAGACACGCCATCTCATAAAGCGTGAATCATCTCAGACTGGTTTCTTGAACATGACAGTTTACTGTACTCAAATGGCCTCAAGATCTCAAGATCTCAATCCAATAGAGCAACTTTGGGATGAAGTAGAACTGGAGATTTGCATTGAGGATACACAGCTGACAAATCTGCAGCAACTGTGATGCTATGATGTCAATATGGACCAAAATATCTGAGGAATATTTCCAGGAGCTTGTTAAATCTTTGCCATGAAGGATTAAGGCAGTTCTGAAGACAAAAGGAGTTCCAACCTAGTAATAGAAAGGTGTACCTAATAAAGTGGCCAGTGAGTGTATTTGGTCAAGAGATAACTTTTGACAATCTGAACTATGAGGGATCAAAAAAGTCTAAAAATACTAAGAAACTTGCCTTTGAAGAAAAAGAGTGAAGTGCAAGCGATCAAAGTTACCAATCAAAATTGACTATAAAAAAAATATTAAATATATAACAGTTAAGCAAAGATTATTTGAGATTTTCCACTTTATTTTATTTTATTATGCATCTTATGTCTGTTTCATAAATTTGAATTCATTTTAAACAGATGACAGAGATTCGATGATTTGGGATGCACGTAACTCCTTGTTTTTCTGCAGACTGATGAAGCAACTTGGTTTTTGATTCACAACATAATTAAAGGGTGTCATGTTTCAGTGAAGCCATTTCAATTGGAAGTGAATTTGTTAATGAAGGGAGCCGAACATGTGACAGCAGCCTGTCGAAAAACCAGCAGCTGTTTCTTTTCTGGCATGCAGGAAAGGTGCCTTTTGATCATCCAACGAATGTCAAACAGCACATGTCAAATTATACTGTTAAAATTAGCATCCAGCATACAGTCACTCATGCTGTGGTGTTCATTCTTGTTAATCCTCTTTCTTGCAGACCTCTGTAGTCTTCAGATAGGGAAACTGCATATTAAATGCATGCTCATACTGCATGTAAAGGGTTTTACTTAAATTACATTTTATTGTCCAACACAGATTGAACAGATGGTGTCCATTAATGACCTAAAACACATTAAACAGGCCTTTGACGTAAGTATTCAAAACATTTACATTTGTGTAAATCTCATTTCATTTATTATTTTGTCAAAAATAGGTTTTCCTAATTCTTTTCCCTTGTGCAGGAGTTTGCAAAGGCTGGCATTGATATGCTGGATTATGCTGAATTTCAAACTGTTATGAGAAGCTGCCCGAGTTTGAAAACAGTTGTAAGTATAGTATTCAGAACTTGCCTTTGAGCAATCTTCTAAAAAAAAAGGAAGATGTTTTAATATTTAATTCTGTGTGTAAAACTACTGAGAGGTTTAGGTATTCATTTTGTAAAACAGATACAGTTAATGAAGGTCCAGTGTCCAAAGTTTTTATTATTAAACACATTTTCTGTCTTACTTTACACATCTTGAAATTTTACAGAAAGATACTCAAATTCAGCATCTATTCATGAAGATCGATTACACCGGCGATGGCAAAATCGAGTGGGTATGAATAATTCACTTTCCCCTTTAAATCTCAGACTTGCTCCATTTGAAGTAGAACCATGGCTTTATTATGAATAAAACCAAAAACACATGGTAATTGTGGTTTAATGGTAACCACATATTTCTATTGTAGTTAAACCATGGTAAACACAAACCACAAGTGACAGTTTTTATCTTAAAGTTGAATATATTAGCTTTCATCTGATGAATGGTTTGATATGATAGAACAATATTTGATCGAAATGAGTGGCCCGGTGGCTCCGTGGTTAGCACTGTCATCTCACAGTAATATGGTCGCTGATTCGAGTGCTGGCTGGGCCAGTTGGCATTTCTGTATGGAGTTTGCATGTTCTCCCCATGTTCATGTTTGTTTCCTCTGGATTCTCTAGTTTCTCTAATAGTCCAAAGACATGCAGTGAATTGGGTAAGCAAAAATTCTCTGTGGTGTGTGAATACAAGAGTGTATGGATGTTTCCCAGTACTGGGTTGCAGCTAGAAGTGCATCCACTGCATAAAAAATATGCTGGATTAGTTGGCGGTTCATTCTGCTGATAAGTGAGGTTTATTTCTAAATTAATTTCGAGAAGATCACGGGCTTATGATTGACCGAGGATGGTCCCGCATTAGCTGTCATATGATTTACCAATTAGACGAATGCAAACACACATAAATAACCAGATATCCTTACCTTAGTCATGTTCGCCTCGAAGAATCCCCCACATCCTCTTTCATAGTTTAATCCAGAACAGGGTGGCATGGTGGCTCAGTGGTTAGCACTGTCACCTTACAGCAAGAAAGTTGCTGATTCGAGTCCTGGCTGGGCCAGTTGTCGTTTCTGTGTTGAGTTTACATGTTCTCCCCGTGCCCGCATGTTTTTTTCCCCGGTTTCATCCCACAGTGCAAAGACATGCAGTATAAGTGAATATAAGTGTTTTAGAACTAAGCATTCACTGCATAGCTATATGCTAGTTGGTGGATCATTCCACTGTTGCAACCCCTAATAACCAAGGAATAGGTAGAGCGAACAAATTCAGGGAAGCTCTCGAGACCTACCTGAGCTTAGACTCCCCTCTTTCCTGATGAGAGCAGCCCCAGGCTCAAAGATCTTCTGAGCTCAGGGCTCTCTCTTATGGGACAGCATGCCAAACACGCTTTATTGTCAATCATCAGCTAAGTGTGAACTCCTGAAATAACGGATATGCCTAAAGAAAATGAGTAAATAAATATTTGGTCAAGATATTAAATATCTAGAGTCTGAGCATTCAAAAAAAGTCTAAAGTGCTTAGCAATCCAAGTTACCAATCAAAATGCTAATATATTTACAGTTGGAAATTTCTAAAATGTATTAATGGAAGATGATCTTCTTTACTTACTGTTCTAATGATTTTTAAAATGTTTACCATGTTCATTTTATTTCTAGCATTTCAAGCTCAAGCTCACTATTTCAGTAGCAATATTTAATGTTTCTAGATTTAATAATTCATTCTCCTTCAGGTTTTACTCAGCAATGTCTACATGGTTACCAGTGGATGTAACTCATAACATTTGCAATGAGATTCTGAATAGATGTCTATTGCAAGTTCTATTTAAGTGTCTCTCTCTTTCTTTTAGCATGAGATCTGCACATATATATTCCTGGAGAACAAAAAGAAGGAAGAAACTGTGCATCGCAGCAAGATGGCAGCTTTTGTGTTGCCAGCTATTGTGAAGTTTCTAAACTGTGGGGAGCCACTTTTGAGAATCCACTTTCCTCCAAATGGCACAGTTGTGACTCTCAGAGAAGATGGGCTTGTTAGCTTCTGGACGCCTAAACTTCATTTGAAGAGCAAGAAGAATTTGTTTGTATGCTACTCTTAACCTATTTAAAAATAATAATGTTTTTTTTAACTTAAAGGTTTACAATGCAAATCCAATTAGAGCCATTTGTTTGGTAAGCAAAGCAAGTCTTTCATATACACTCACCGGCCATTTTATTAAGTACACCTGTCCAACTGCTTGTTAATGCAAGTTTCTAATCAGCCAATCACATGGCAGCAACTCAATGCATTTAGGCATTTAGACATGGTCAAAACAATCTGCTGCAGTTCAAACCGAGCATCAAAAACATTCCCTGGTCTGAGGAGTCTCGATTTCTGCTGCAACATTCTGATAGTAGGGTCAGAATTTGGCATCAACAACATGAAAGCTGATCCATCCTGCCTTGAATAAACGGTTCAGGCTGCTGCTGGTGGTGTAATGGTGTGGGATATGTAATGGTGTGGGATATTTTCTTGCCGCACTTTGAGCCTATTAGTGCTAATTGAGCATCAATGCCACAGACTACTGAATATTGTTGCTGACCATGTACATCCCTTCATGACACTGTACCTAATAAAGTGGCCAGGCGGTGTAATATATCTACTTAAACACAGAAAATAAAACTTTACAAACTGTATTGTTAATAAATCATATAAACATTTTCATATTGATAAAACTACAGAAAGTAATTTAACAACTGAATAAATGTGTGTGTGTGTATATATATATATATATATATATATATATATATATATATATATATATATATATATATATATATATATATATATATATTTACACATTCACATAAGTAAATAAATGGGCTAAATGGATCTGCGGATTTTCTGCGTGCAAAGATTATGTGTGGGCCTATGCAATGAGATTCTTAATTTTTTTATTATATCAATTTCATAATTCATTTGAATCTTTTATCTGTTTCTATTCCAGCCTGAACGATCCATCACTAGAAGACCAAACTGGGCTACTGATTTTGTGCTGATGCCAGAGTATAACAAACTGATTATTGCAACTGGGTAAAATACTGCCAAAGTACATGTATTTTTGCATAATAGTCTTCATAATACACATAATCTTCTAGGAAAGAGTTTTGCTCAGGGCGTGCTTTTCCAAATGAAGATGAAGTAGTCAATTTCTGAAGCAACTTACTGTTATTACTGGGACAGTTCCCTTGGAGCAGCCTGAGGATTGCTCTGTTGAAGTGTAGCTTGTAACTTTTTAGTGTTCTTATGAAAGATACTTTTTTTTATATAACAGCCCCAAATGATCACTACTGGTCCAAAAGGCATCGTTTCTTCCATTTTACAGATCCAGAGAACTCCAGTTTTATGAGTTTTCCTCTTTGGAGCCTTGTTGTCAGTTGAGTGCACTGGAAACTGTGCCTTTAAATCTGGATTACTGGTGAGCAGACGCCAAATCAGTACTTTATTTAATTTTATTTGTTTTTTTTAATTTTTTTTTTATTTAATCTTTACCTAAATCACAACGGTAGCTCCCCATCTTTTAAACTAAGCTTAAGTTAATTATAAACTGTATATTTTTAATTCCTCTTCATTTTCTTTATATTTTTAAAAAAGCATTAATTTATTTATTTTATTTTGGAAACAAAATAATGTCATTTGTTTAAATGCAATGCATTTAGGAAACTAAAAAACGTCAAAGCAACGCTTATTACATTAATGCATTTAAATAGTTAACAATAATCTTTATGTATATTTCCTGTAAATAAAACCTGATGTATTTTGTATGCTATATGATCTTCTGTTTGAGGTACAGAAAAGCTAATAAGGGCATGTTGGCTTATGCATTTGTTTTTATTTATTTTGATATGAAATATGTAAGAACAAAAACCTACTTTCTTTGATGATGCTTTAGTAAAAAAAAAGATTGTTTTGTCAGCTCTACTCGTCCAGATGAATGTGTCATTGTATACGGCGATACTGAGGTAAAATGCTGTTCAACACAAATGAATTTCATATAAAACACCGCATTTGATTAACCACAGACTTTTTGGCACTCCAGGGCTGTGTGAACATCCTACTAATGAAATCAATCAGGGAGAAACTGAGGTAAACAAGGGATTTAATAATGCCGTTTTCCATGTGCAGTTTTGTAAAACAAAATCACAAGCGCAAGTCATGCAGACATGACCTAATTTTCATAAAATTATGAATACATTAATTAGATTGGTTCAATTCTCTGCAGAGAGACTATGTGAAAGAAAACTAAAAGACCTTGCTAAAACTGACATGTTTTGTTATCAGTAAGCCTATAACTATAAAGATCTATAGAAATAGCCTTGTATAATATTTCTTGTGTATGGATTTCTAACTTTTATTTATGCCCTAGATTGTGGAAAAGATCACCGCAGGTTGACAACATCCCAAACATAAGCATTGACCATGCTGTTGAATCTCCAGAAGTAACATTTATCCGATGGAAAGTCCACCAAGACTGGGTGTCAAAGGTTAAATATTTTACTATATTTAGATGAGTATACTACTGATTTAAGTGTCTTATCACACCGTTATTGTTCAGTTGCTTTAATGCACTTAAAAACATTGCAATATTTCATATTTTGTTCAAAATACTGATATTACAGGGTGTCTGCGTGGTCTTAAAATGTCCTAAATCTCAAAATCAAAATTTAAGGTCTTAAAAAGTCTTAAATCTACAGAAATATTGTGTTGTAAGCCTTAAATAATTTTTAAACAGGTCTTAATTTTCATGTATAGCTACCCACTCTAGTCAACACCCATTCTAAATAAAACTTTTAACTTTTTATTTAAAAGGTAATTTTTAACTCTGTTTACCATAGTGGTTTAATTATTTTCCTTACAATAACAAGTGTTTAAAAGTAGTCAATACTGCTAAGGACACCTGACGTCTCGGTGACACAGTGGGTAGCACAATCACCTCACAGAAAAAAGAAATAGAAAGTCTCTGGCTCGGGCCTCGGCTGGGTCAGTTGGTGTTTCTAAGTGGAGTTTGCATGTTCTCCCTGTGTTTGCATGGGTTTCCTCCGGGTGCTACGGTTTCCCCCACAAGGACACTGACCTGGACAGATTGTTGTGCATTTAGTTCATTGTAGTTTTAAACATTTGCTGTTTTTTTTTTTTAAGGTTTGTTGGGAAAAAAGTGTATGGATACAAGAATAGAGCTTGCTTGCTTTTACACAATTTTTAAAATATTTTTGCTAATATTTAAAATATTTTATTTTTATTATTAACTTATGATTGTATTACTACATTTATTAAATTGTAATTTAGTTTTTTTGATAGGGAAAATAAAAATCTTTTACATCTGGGCCATTTGAAAATTTTTTTAATGTTTATGAGTATAAAATAACTGTATTATTTAAATATTTATATTGTAATATGTTGATGTTTTAATAGTTTTTTCCTGCTAAAATCAAGGGTAAAATGTAACACTGTTTTTATTTCCAGGTGAAATATTTTGAAAGCATATCTTCCATTGTATCCTCATCAGCCCATGAAGAAACTGCCCTTGTTATAGGTAACATCTTAAAATGTCTAATTTTGCAGTAATTTATTTTGTTTTTTTTTGTTTTTCATTTACTAAGGTCATCCCAACTTTGAAGAAAAGTTAGAAATTATTTGCTAAATTAAAATAAGCTCTGTTTATTTTCCAAACTGACATTATTTCATAACAAGCATGTTGCCCTTCTTGTTATTATATTAAAATAATGAGGATCATAATTAAAAATAATGAGAAATACAAGCAAGCAGAAAACGCAGAACAAACAATGATAATGAGAATAGAGGTCAACATGTGGTTAGCTGATTTAAAACAGTTACAGAAATGCTAAAAATAGGGTTAACTTTATTAGTGCAAATCTGCATTTAAAAGCTGATTTAGGGAGAAATTTAACCTACACATTCAGATTCACACAAGATTATAGCAAGTACTGTGTCCTTATTTCTGAGTGAGTAACTGGGTGAGAGAAAAAAAGAAAGTAGCAGCTCTGTCGTCTTGGATGTTAATGCTAAAGCAGAGATCTGTCAGAACCCTCAATGTGATGAAGCTCTGGTTAAACTCATTTGAATAACACACCGTGACACAGACAGAGGGGGAAAGGGCTATGAAACTGTCAGCTGTGATCGGTTTGAGCAGGAACGTGTGTGTGAATGTTTGACAATCTGTTTTTAATTAGGTTCCATTCATCCATCAACGTATAAACAAGAGCAGATGAGAGGGACGGCAGAAGTGAGTGATGAAAGGTCTACGAAAGTCACACAGAGAGCAACATGCAACCAAACAATCTTTATCGTTCCTAAAGGGGTTACGACTTTTGACCTGTGTAAAAATCTAAATCTTTTGGTCACTGGAGGCATGGACAAGGTGGTACGGATGTGGATTCCTTATGTGCCTAGGTATGCCTTATAATCTCTTATTCTTAATGGTCTTTTGAAAATCTTGATACCGATTGGCTGGAAGGTGCTATAAACTCGGTTAATGCACAGGTTTCAGTGAGATTTGATTAGCGATACAACAGTAGACTTCTCATGGTTCGGTTTGGTTTTTGATTTTAGGTTATGCACAGGACGTCAGATTGACGTTGTACCCCAAAGTCATAGGTTGATGCATTTTAGGTGGAAATGAAAATCGGGACACAACGTCAAACTAACATGTGTCAAACGTCGGACAGATGTTGCATTTGGGTCACTTTCCAATGCAACTTAAACACACCCAATTATCAACATCTAATCATGTTATAGGGCAACGCAGTGGCGCAGTAGGTAGTGTTGTCACCTCACAGCAAGAAGGTCGCTGATTCGAGCCTCGACTGGCTCAGTTGGCATTTCTGTGTGGAGTTTGCATGTTCTCCCTGCGTTCGTGTGGGTTTACTCCGGGTGCTCCGGTTTTCCCCGCAGTCCAAAGACATGCGGTACAGGTGAATAGGGTTGGCTAAATTGTCTGTAGTGTATGAGTGTGTATGAATGTTTCCCAGAGATGGGTTGTGGCTGGAAGAGCATCTGCTGCGTAAAAACATGCTGGATAAGTTGGCGGTTCATTCCCGTGTGCGACCTCAGATTAATAAAGAGCCGAAAAGAAAATGAATAAATAATGATGTTATAGATTAACGTTGTGTGGACGTTACCACTATGACGTCCATCAGACGTTGGTTTTGGGGTGCCATACCTGACGAATAAATGTCAGTATCTGACGTCAATATGATGTTGGCTTAAGATGTTGGCTCAGCATTGGATTATAGTCTCTTATCAACGCAACCTAATAACAACCAAACATCAACGATATTTGACGGTATTACTGGACGTCAAAATAATGTTGTCTGTGGACAATGGCTGGGCATAAAACTTTGGTAATCTGTCTTCAAGACCTAAATCTAACATAATATTAAAACGTCTTATGACATTGTGTGCCTGCTGGGTAATTTGGATATGGTTTGGTATATAATATGGTCAGTAAAAAGCAAAATACAAAACAAAACAAACACAATATAGGAAATATAATACGAAAAAAAACACTTTACAGGTTTTTCATGTACACTGTAATCCCGAATAAGTTGACAAAACTCAAAAAATTTGAGGTAATCAGTTACGTCAAATTTTTTAAGTTATGAAATTATCTATTTTAAGTAAACAGAAACATTAAGTTTTGAGTTTGTTGTACTCATGCAAGACACTTCACCTAACTTAAAATAACCAAGTTACTCAGCTTATACGTTTTAATTGCAATTAACTTAATTGTTTTAATTTTTCCAAACTTTAAATACTTAGTCACCCAGCTCATACATTTTAATACCAATTAACTTAATTGCTTTAATTTCTTTCAACTTTAAATACTTAAATCACCCAGCTCATACATTTTAATAGCAATTAACTTATTTTTAATTATTTATCTCACCTTTACATAATTAGTCACCCAGCTCATACATTTTGATAGCATTTTTTAAAATTAACTTCTCCATCGTCAGTTTCACAAATAAAATTAGCCATTATTTTAATCTTTAAACCCCATAAATCTGTCAAAATAAATCTGTAATTTAAAACACACAGACAATACCATTTTAGACATTTATTGTTAAAGAAAAAATGTCCAACAGTACTTTCAAATTTGTCTCCTATGCAATTACAAATGTCTTAAAACGATAAAAACTATTAGACATAAAGAGATTGAAAATGAACACTATTCTGAAATGAATAAAAATTACCCACAATGTAAATATGATATCAGACATAAGAGCCTCAAGAAAAAACAACTATAAGTTTGATAAAATTTAATAATACATTAATAAGTGTAAAACTTACTCTTAAGGCATTCGTTAAAAAAAATAATAAGTGCACATTCTGTGAAGTGACTCGTTTAGTGTAAACTACACAGAAACTGTATATATATATATATATATCGTTGAAGTCAGAATTATTCGCCCCCATTTATTTTTCCCCCAATTTCTGTTTAACGGAGAGCAGATTATGATTATATATATATATATATATATATATATACACACATATATACATTGTAGCAAAGCAGAGGGAAAACAGCGACACAGTTGGATAAGTTTACAGACAAGTCCCCGGAGGGTGCTTTATTTACAACGTGAATGGGGTGTAAACGGTGCTCTTCTTCAAGGTGAGGTGCTCTGGTGCTCCGGGAAGTAAGTGAAGGACAGTGAGTAGTCGGATGTGGGATCGTCACGAGCTGGAGTCTGCTGTGGAGAGACAGAGACAAGCGTTAGCGCATGGAGCCATTGGGTGAATGAAGCTCATCTTCTCCTTGCGTGGGCTTGGTTTATATGCCTCTCCACTTGATGACGTCCAGCTGTGAACGATCCTGTGTTGATGATGGTCCAGCTGGGTTGAATTAGCGACCAGGGGCCTGTTTCAGAAAGGAGGTTAAGTGAAAACTCAGAGTATTTTAACCCTGAATTGAGAGAAACTCTGGGTTTTCCGTTTCAAAATGGCAGGTTTGTTAAACTCGAGAAAGCAGGGTAAGTCAAGCCTGTTTCTGAAAGAGAGGTAACTTTAACTCAGAGTCAGTTACTGTGGTAACTTACTCTGTGAATCTAACCTGGTCAGAAGCAGGTTTTATTCTCTAAACTCAGAGTTTCTGTCGGTCTCCTCCCCTTTTTTAAAGATGAAGCGGTATTTCTCGCCTTAGCCTTACGTTTCCACCCACCTATTTTTATGCTTATTTTGGATACGTGCATAAAAACGATTGATAAAAACGTCATGATGCACATAACTTTTTAAAATATGCATAAAAAACGCGCATAACTGAGTAGGATAAACTTTTATTTGATAGAAAATTTGCGCATAAACGACGATGGAAACACTTTTACTGAACAAATTACAGCATGTACATTAAAAAAAAAGATCATGATCATATGATAATGAAAATGTGTGTAAATGAACAACCCAGCAGGCTGAGCACACTGTAACACGTCTTAAATATTGTTTTAGTCATTCTAAAATGCCTTAACTGTTTCAGTATTAGTGTATATTATTAATTACCTCCGAGCGTCTGGTGCGTGTCAAGAGTCTCCGCGTCTCATGGCTTCAGACGCCCCCACGTGTTTATTGTGTTTCAGCGTTGTCTTCTGACATCGAGGCGCAAGTACATTAATTAGGCTAAATAAAGAATTAATTGACGCAGCTTCTTCTACCACAGTAAATTCTGCTTTTACTGTTGATATTTGGTGCCAGTTTAATCAGGAAGTGACGATTTTTTTTCTCTTTGACTCGTTGGATGGAATTTTATTCGGATCTTTTATGCAATATTCCAGTTTTGCACATAAACTTATGTAATATATTTGGATGGAAACATAGCTATTGCCTACATTTTAGTCACACACAGAAGAACTGTACGAGAATGGCTTATCCTTTTTTTTTTATAAATAATTAAATTAAATTCACCTTCGATATGCACTGTAACTAGATTAATGGGATTATTATTCTTTCTAAAAATAATTTTTAGTACTGCTTACCTTCTAAATGTTATATTAACCTATATCACTTGATCAATAAAAAGGCAGACACACAAGTGCACTGTTAAATCATTTAAAACTAATAAATGTATAAAAAAAAAGTTCAGAAAAAAATATATAAACGTCACAAATTACATTACTTATTTTATTATACTTAAATATTTAAGTTCTTAAAAAGTGAAATTAGGCATTAACTTGAGCAGCTGTTTTCCACGCTAACTGTCTCTTCTTCACTGATGGCTGCTTATTTTCAAATATATAAGCTCATATTTGCTATAACTTTGCATGAGAACATCAAGTTCAGCCGGAGAAAGAAATGGTGATCTCTTTTATAAGATATTGCCATAGTCACTCGTAATGTCTGCGCTCCATTGATAATGCCTTTTTTGAAGTCACGGTGTGCGCGCTTAACTCTGAGTTGGTCTACTCGAAGTTGATTGACCCAACTCAGATCAGCTATTCTGAAACCGAAAACTCTGAGTTTTTAATCTCTCGGTAAATCAACTCAGAGTTCAAGTTTAAACTCTGAGTTGTTTGAACCTCCTTACTGAAACAGGCCCCAGGGCGACGTGGCATGTGTGCGCTCGTTACAATATATATATATATATATATATATATATATATATTCAGTCTTGGTTGAACTATGATTCTGTCATTTACTTATTCCAAACCTGTTTGAGTTTCTTTCTTCTGTTGAAAAAAAAAAAAAAAGCTGAGACCTGTAACCACCGATTTCCACAGTATTTGTTTTCCTATTAGAAAGTCAGTGGTTACAGGTTGTCAGCTTTACTTAACTTTTGTGTTCAACAGAAGCAAGAAATTCAAGCAGGTTTGGGACAAGTGAAGAGTTAGTAAATGACAGAATTTTACATTTGGACAAACTATCCCTATATATAATTAAATGCATACTTACCAATTAAAGGTAAATAAATGTTTTGAAGTTACTACCCCAGAGACAGTCTTTATTAAGTTAAAAAAAAAAAAAAGCTCTACATCAACTCATTCTTTAAGGTTTCCATGCTACGAGACTTTTTATTTTCCATCATCCATGCCAAGCAAAACTTTTTGCACAAGTTCAAAGTCCTTTACTATATATTATGTGAAGAGCATACATTAATCCATACAAGACAAGAAAGGTCTGGAAGCGTGCTGTGGGTGGTGTCCAATTCATTCTTCAGGACAACAGAGACCCTCAGTGAATGCAGGGCCAATAAAGCATCTTCAGTCAGCAGGATTATCAATCTAAAAATATAATTCAAGGATATTAATGTAAGGACAGTATCAAAATGACTGAGCCAATATTATATGATTCATCAACTATTCGTGATTACAAATATGTTAAGTAAAAGTTTTCAAAACTTTCATCTTTTCATTAAACATGCCTAATTGTGAAAAGAATGAATGAAGTCTTACCATGGTGTTCCTAAAGAATCTTAAAGTCACGCTCACGCAGCAAGACCAAAAGACCTCTGATAACAGTAGTCCGTCATGAACTGACATCATTCAGTTCCTGGAAATCAAGAATCAATTTTTTAAAAATTAAAAAAATAATAATAATTCAAATTATATTTTAATGTATACTTTAACACGTGACCCCAAACATACCTGCTCATCATAAACCTTTAAAAGATTAGCCAGGGTATCTGCTGTCTTGCCAGTTTTGGATGCTGTTTGCCTTAAAATTGTCATCAAATGAAATAGGTGGTGGTCCAGTTTTGCAAAGAATTTGTGGGGAAAATTCTCATTTGTAACATGTTGGTACTCTGCAAACAGCAAAAAGAAACAAGAGAGAATTTCATAAAACAAACCCACACCACAAAATATACAATTCTAGAAAAAATGTATTAATATTATTATTATGTTTCATTTACTTATCTATTTTTTACCTCAGATGAAAACCAGGTATTGATCAGATGTTGAAAGCAGGATCTTCATGTTGTAAATTGAACTCAAGGTCTAGCTGAAGTTTCACTTTCCTTGCTGCAAAAGTATCATTGATAAATACACTGTAATATTTATTTTATCTGGATATGCCAGGCATAGTAGTACAAAATAAATATTTTACCCACCTTTCACATGCCTCCATTTAAGAACCGATCTGTAGTCAGCAACACCCGACCTTCAATTCTGTATGTACACAAAGTCACAGTGTCATTTAGCTGAGAGTGGAAGTAGTACAATTGCCTGATGTCTAACGTTAACCTCCAAAACGGTTAGCAATAGAGCTGATTATCATGTTAGTTGCTTTAATTCGATGAACACAGATTTAATTTAAACAGTATTGAAATTTCTAAAACTGAATAGGACGACAAAGAAATTTAAGGCCTGATTTTAAAAGCTAGAAATAACAAAACTTACCTTATTGTCTAATGATGTAAAAATATATAGACTAAAATATTTTTAAGATATAAATATATTTTAAGCTACAAAATTTGCACATCAGAAAACTGTCTTCTTTAACACGTCTTGAATATTTTGTTTTGTTATTATTTTATTTAATAACATAATTTTGTATTAATGTGTTATAGATATGCATACTTTGTTTTTTAGGCTGTTTATATTCTCTCCAGAGTAGACATTTTAAAAAATAGATTGAAAAAAAAAAAAACTTTTATCATACCTTTAAAATACATTTGACCTAAATGACATTTAAACTCACTTAACTGATCGCATTAATCAGGTAATCATTGATATGCAGAGATGTCGTCTTAAGCGCGAGGAAATAAGTGTTGATCAGTGCTGGTGATTGAGGTAAAGTTAGTTTTATATTTACACATTCAGACTTTCTCCCTAATAATATAATTTCAGAAAGGTAATTTTTGCATATTCTTAATGGTGAAATCATATTAGCAGCCAATGACTTTCAAAGTACAACATTGTTCAGTCAAAAAAAAATAGTGCATTTAGTGTAATGTTGTTTTCATGTCATACTTGCATGTGATTTCAGAACGAATAGACAAAGTACCATGGTAAACAATTTATGGAGCGAGTCACAAGTTGTTACTAAATGAATGTATGAATATAAAACCAACTTTACCTCAATGTGGTAGTGTAAAATGAAGCTCTGCTCTGTACCTGCTCAGGTGAGGAGCGCAGCTTAAATGTTCTCCGTCAGGCTATCCTCATACATGGATCAGCAAGCAACAAGCTGCGTGTGACAGAGTTAAGTTTTGAGACTACGTTTTTGCGCGTCATCAGAAAATACCGTTTAGTGTTTAGGCGGAGATCATTTGAGTTATGATTAACGTTACGTTTCTTGTGCCTTTCGTTTCCGAAGTGCCTACAGATCGCGAAGATAATACCACATTCACAGACTGGATGGAGTTCAGCGCAGCGCCATGACATGCGGTTGTGACAGCGCACGTCTCCATGACAACTTCAGCACAGGCTGAGAAAAGGCATACTCGCGCCAAGATTTAAATTTTTTTGAAAAATGTAATCTGCCGATTTTAAATATTTTTGTCTTTATCACACTCTGTTAAAATTCAGAGTTAACACATTACAACTAACGCTAACATTGCACTGATTCTAACTTTTTAAACAGTAATGTTAACGTTAGTTAGCAACAAGTGAGGCTAAACATGTTTTCTGTAATGTACGACATGTAAACGCACCCTGATTAACTCTACATTACATTGAACTGTTACTGTGATTATATTAATTAAAACATACATTTAATATTTCTTGGATTTGTAAATATTTTACTTACTGTAGTGTGAAGCGAGGCCGATCCGCCATCTTGAAAAAAACGAATGAAGCATGAGCACGTACGTGAACCTGGATGACGTCAGACGCAAAATCACTAGTCTGACAGAATTTGAGTTAATGAAACTTTAAAGAGACATTTTGTATAGATTAAACCCAGCAGAATTGTTCACCTTACTTGAAAGATTAAATTTTTACAAACTCAAAAATAAGAAAAAGTTCTAAATACTCATCAAGGTTAATTAAGATAAACGAATTTTAATGATTTAAGTTAATAGAACTCAACTCAATTAATTAGTTACAGCATTAGGGTTTACAGTGTACCTAACAGAAGTTTTTAGTTAAATCAACTACAAATCTAATCAGATAACAATGCATATAATCTTCACTCTATAAATTAAATAAAGGTTAAGCATTACTGAGCTATGTAGCTATTCATTCAAGAAAAGAATAAATGAAATAATTTTATTTAGTTGTTTGATCAATATTAAAAACAAAGACAACAGGAATGAGATGTATTTACTTTATGATGCAGATGAGAAAGTTACAGAGAACACGATTTCCCAAATGTTTACATTCCAAGGCATAACCGATTGAATGCTCAAAGTCAGATAGATGGATAATTCTTCTTCTTCTTCGGCCTTAGTCCCTTATGGTTGCGGGGTCGGCTCTTTGGAACAAGTACTCCATTTAGACTTGTCCATATGATAACAAATTTTTTTACACCTTCCTGCTGGCCTGTCGTCTGTCATCCTCATACACTATGGACAATTTAGCCTACCCAATTCACCTGCAGCATGTCTTTGGACTGTGGGGGAAACCGGAGCACCCGGAGGAAACCCACGCAAATGAACATGCAAATGCCAACTGAGCCAAGGTTCGAACCAGCGACCCAGCGACCTTCTTGCTGTGAGGCGACAGCACTACCTACAGTGCTACTGCTTCACCCAGATAGATGGATCAATTTAATTATTGATTGTAAATCACCTGAGTCTTAGGCTGCATTTACACTGCAGATCTTGATGTGCAAGTCCGATTTTGTAACTGTATCTGATTTTTTTTGATGACCTGCTCACATCATCTTTTAAATGTGACTCCGATCCGGTTGTCTGCATTTACACTGCACACTGCAAAGGCTCAATGGCCAGGAAAAAAATAGCGGGCACTGACTACCAGCTGATAATAAAAGAGCACAGTTTTCTCCATTCCTGTTTTTAATGTGTTCACAGGGTTTAATTATTTGTAAAATTCTTTTTGACAAGTTGTTATACTTTAGTTTATGACAGAAAAGTTCTCATGTTGCTATCTTCTTTAAATCTAGGCATTTTAAACCAGTAGGCATCTTAATGTAATGTCTGTGGCATGATTTGTCCAATTCTATATTTTCTACTTACATGTACATGGACCATATCCGATCTATATGGGATCTATATTCTCCCCACATGGGAGAAAAAAAATCGGAATTGAGTTACTTGAACCATGCAGTGTAAATGCAGTCTTATTGTTGAGAAGCAAGACCTAATTTGCACGTCATGACCTTCATCCAGCTTTTAAGATGAGGCAGTTCTCAAATCTCCCGTGTGAGTCCCACATGGCTCATGCTCTGACATATGGCTCATATCATTTTCACCTGAAAGCATCTTCTTCTTTAGTTCTTACTGATGGGGGATTTACTTGCAGGGAGCTTTGTTTCAACAGATAGAAATACATTCTAACACACACAGAGCCAGTTCAGAGACTAATTAAAGGAATACGGGAAATGCAAAGTCAAGTTATTAATTTTATTGCAAAACCCAAAAAACAAAAAACAAAACGCAATATCCATATCCATATTGAACCATGGAGGTTGTGCAGAACGATTTAATATTATACAATAAATGTAATTGCAGCATCCATAGTTTTGATCACAGTTCGAAATGAATGCGCCTCACATCTTCCATGTGAATAAATTGAAAATGCCCCATATCCCTTACTTTTCATTCCGAAGTGGTATCTCTCTGATATCACAAAGAGATTTTAACCTTCTCTGATCTTTATTGTTTGAAATGCATACAGACAACAATACTATGCATACAATACTATGCGATCAAATACTGATGTTCAATACTGGCTAGTAATTTTACATTTTGAAATGGCAGAAATCCAACAGGGATTTTGAAAGGTCACTCCGCCCCTGTTGCCTACGTCTGTGTCACGTCAGAGAATGGACACATTTACTCAGTGTCCACAGACAACACTGCAAAGGTGAGGGATTCATTCATTACTCAAAATCCTAAAAATCCCATAATGCCAAAGTCTTTCAAAGACTTTATTTTGATGGTGCCTATTGCACATTTTGTTGACTAAAAGCTGCATTTCAACTACATGCCAATTACTTCTCATTTGAGTATTAGAAGACTGCTTATTATCTGTTGAGACTGCTCCTTCAGTTAACTGACTATAGGAAACTTTGCAAGTACAAGATAATTAACAATAACCCTACCCTAACCCCAACCCCAACCCCAACCCAACAGTCTACTTGTAATCTAATGAGAATTAGTTGGCATGTAGATCCAATGTAACTTAAATTCAACAAAATGCATTAAAGGGACAATCAAAATAAAGTCATACAGTGTCTTGATATAAAAATGTTACCAAATGTTATTAATGAAAACATTTATGACCTAATAATGAATACTGACATATATGTATAAAGTCAACTGCAGCCATTTGTCTTTTTGATTATCTCATTCTTATATTGTTCTTTACTCAAATGACTTTTCACTTGTTTTATCAAGAAAAAGCAGAAATGCTGTTATTGAGGTGGTACCCTTTTAAAAGTTACAGAGGTGTCCCTTTTTAAAAAGCTATGAAAGCTTTTGTACAGAGGTTGTAATCAAAAAGATTTTTTAAGTGTGTCTATTACTTATATAACTTTTATCAGTATAATGAAATTTATCTTTTTCAAATAATATATATTAAAATAATGGTCTAAAATTTGGATTTTTGTCAGTGTTAGTTGTATGTATAAGTATGTGTTGTTTTATTTTTGTCTCTTTTAAAAGGGTACCGCCACTATGGCAGCTTTTGTACCTTCTTTATCAAAGAGGCTGAACACAAAAGGAGATTTTTTTAAAAAGGTGTCTTTATTACTCTTTTCAGTATAATGAAAGTTAATGGCTTGTCCAGCTCTATGGCTCTAAAAAGCACCACCAATGGCCCATATAATTCATGAACTGTATTCAAAGTCTTTTTAAACCAGAAATCATTAAATCCACACAATCTTTCCTTAATGCATTCATGGGAAAAGTAACATTACTAGGATGTGAATTTAAAACTTGGCAAATGGGGGTGACAATTGACTGTGGCAGGTAATGCGTGTCAATACACTGGCCAGTTTGGCACGTTATGATTCATATATAATGTTCTGCCACTTTGCATGTAATTGCTATCCAGCATCCTAAATTAGAGACTCAAATTTAGTAAAACATTACATAAAGAGGGTCGTACACTGAGAGAAAAGACATGTTTTTAAAATCTGAACATAGTACAGATGTGAATGGTGAATGATAGCTGAGATACATGAGACACAGTGCTTCTGATATTTTTGATACTTTGGTGTTTGATAGTAGAACATCTGAAGGGTCAGTAAATAAAAAAATAGCTAAATTAGCCGGTTAGCGAGAAAGTTAATTTCAAACCATGTCTAATGTAGTCAAAGTTTAAGTTTAACAACCTAAATCAATCTCTGACATACTATTTTGTTGGGGAAAAAGAGCACATGAAATGTACAGAATAAGCATATTTTTTGATCATTCCATATCCTGTACAAATAATAAAAAAAAGTGATTTATTTTTATTTTTAATTTTATTACTTTGGTTTAACAACTGTTAAAAGATTTTTTTGCATTATTTTACAGATGCGTAATCTTCTCCAAATAATATATTTTAGAATAATGGTCTATTTTGTTTTTTATTTTTTTGTTTAGTGTTAGTCATATATAAATATGTTATGTTGTTTTGTGTGTATGTCTGTGTATTTTAAGACTAAGATAGGCTTAAGATTGTAATTAAAATGATGTGGGCATGACAAAAGAGATGGAGTTCAACATGCATCTTTATTTAGTGAATGGTCAGGTAGGCAAAACAGGAGCAAAACATTAATAGGCAATCCAAAAAGATTAGTCCAAGAAACAGGCAAAGGTAGGGGCAGACAGAAAACTATGACAATCCAAAAACAGTCCAAGAATCAAAAAACTAGAGAGAGCAAAACATGGAGGCAAGGAACATGAAACAATACTGAGCAAGGAATGAACGTGTCTGTGGTGTTTAAATAGTTCAAGTAAACAGTAAAGATGATCTGCAGCTGTGTATGTGAATTTAAAAGGTGATTTAAAACTGAGTGCCATGATGGGATTTGTAGTTCGGTAAAATGGCAGATGTGTATTCTTTAGTGTATAGTGTGTATTCACCACACACCAGCGATGATTGGGAGCCCATGATGGGTAAGAGTCATTGAAGGGAATTTGGCCAGGACACCGAGGCTACACCCCCACTCTTTATGAGAAGTGCTATGGGATTTTTAATTACCATAGAGAGTCAGGACCTCAGTTTAATGTCTCATCCGAAAGACGGCCCTCACTGACAGTATAGTGTCCCCTTCACTATATTGGGACATTAGGACACATACAGACCGCAGGTTGAGCACCCCCTGCTGGCCTCACTAAAACCACTTCCAACAGCAACCTAGTTTTTCCATGTGGTCCCCCATCCAGGTACTGACCAAACTTAGCTTTGCTGATGCCGTGTTCAGACTGCATGATTTTAGCTCTGATTTTGAGTCGCCGATGGATTTTGAGAAATTGCCAACAAATGCCTGAAATCACAGACAAATCGGTACTTGTTCACGTGAGTGAACTATCAAGGACACTATCTGAGAGAATCGCAGATGAGTCGCCGACACGCGTGAGATATTTGGCATGCTAAATATATGGAGCTGTCGGCAATTCAAATTATGCTTTGTGAAATGTGTTCTGATTGAAAATAACATCCGCAATCACCTAAGCACTCATTTTCAGTTTATTTGGACCCAAGAAATGGAGGAAAAACAAGTGGAAATTTGGCAGGAGCACCCGTGTCTGTTTGTGTCATGTAAGCAATATCACAACTGGGTCAAAAAGTAAAAGTTGAGAAGAGATTGCTAATTCTCTTTAAAAGCCATGCGAGCAACACAAGTATCTAAAGCTAAAGCCTTCTTTTTCCCGTTATAATAACAAAATATATATTACGTGAACTCCATGTCACTACTCATGTTTGTTTGTGAGACATAGTTTAGACAAAGTTGTCTGTGATTCTTCATATTTTAAAGTCATGCAGTGTGAACTCTCTTGTCGCCGATCCATCCTACATTGCAAACACAGCACAGACAGAACGCTAACCCAGATAGTTATGCAGTGTGAAAACATCTGTGGCACTACTACTTTGAAAAGCATGCAGTCTGAACTCTCCATTAGCTTCAGCAAATAACCAGCTTTGGGATGCAGGGTGATATGGCATCTTAACAGTAATATATTACTTTTAAAAGTAACTTTACCAAATAATACAGTATATGACCCATGTCAGAACCATAAAAAGAATGGAAAACTGTAGCAAGTGAATGCAAGATGCAAAACTTTCAAAGCCATGGGCACATACACACTTTTCAGGGGCTCTAGAATAAAAAGCAGTATACACATGGAAATCACACACAAATGTTTCAGTGCTGCCATAAATTTTAAGCAATAACTGAACATTTTGGTTTGGCAGTAAACTATAAAACATTCTTTAAAACTACTTCTATAAAACTACAAAACTTCTTTCTGCACTTTTTTCAATAGAGAACACTTTAATAAGCTGTTTATTCAAAATAATAGAATGAAAGGATGGGGGCAGGATCTGCACACACTTTTATAGGTCACAATTATAGGGAAATCTGACCCTGTTTACAGATTCAGACGTAGTACAGTTGTAAACAGCCCACTATAGAGAATAAAAAAATGTAAAAAATTCAAATTCGGTCTGTTCATTACTCAAAGCTAGTACAAACCCACTGTTATAACATTTCTTAGTTGCTTTTGAATCCTTTTGGAGGAACATCTATCGCCAGTCCTCATTTAATGTTTATTATTTTGAAAACAGCAGGCATGGACATTGTTAGAAATTCTCCTTTTGTGGTTCATGTTAGAAAGAAGGTCAAATAAGCTTGGAACAACATAAGAGTGAGTAAATGAATATTACAGTGAAATATTTCTTTAATCAAAAGAACAGAGGGGTGCAACATAAATATGAAAACGTATGATTTTTTTATCATGCTTTTTTTTCAGATATGGCATATAAAGGACCAGACGTGTCTGTTTACTGCACATCCAAATTCAAGTCAAATCAAGGGAGAACTGTCTGCATGCATCTACTCTTCAGCAGCGAAAGGGCTCTACATTGCCTCAGATTCAATCGCTTTACTTTCCCTTAAGACAAAGTACATATCTTGGATGTTATATTTATATCTTGTTAAGAGCATCAGTTTGCCATAAAGGCATTATGATATATTTAGTTAGAATTGTTATAATGCAGTTATTATCCATTCTCTTTCTATGTTCCATCTGTTGTAGACCACAGCCTAAAGGCATTCAGATTGTGTCCCATAAAGAGCCTGTGTTGTGCTGCGGATACAGTGAGCAGTTTAGGCAGGTGGTGAGCTGCTCTGAGGGCTCGGTGAGTGCTTTTAAGGATGCAGATTTTCAGTTCCTTATGGTCATTGCTTGACCTTCAAATGTTCAATTAAATTCAATTCAATTCAATTCAGCTTTATTTGTATAGCGCTTTTACAATGTAGATTGTGTCAAAGCAGCTTCACATAAATGGTCATAGTAACAGGAACAGTGTGGTTCAGGTTTTAGTGTTTAAGTTCAGTTCAGTTCATGTGAATGTAGTTATAGCGCATACTGTAGATACAACCGAGATTGTCATTTTTCATAATTCCTAATTGGCAGCAAGTTTAAAAACATGTAATTTTATATTTCATTAAATTAACATTTGATCAGTTGATCAGTCTTCTTGCTTAAAATGTAAATTTTCCTTTCCAAAATTGTAAAACATAGGCCTTAAACTTGATTCCTGGAGGGCCACAGCTCTGCACAGTTTTGCTCCAACTCTAATCAAACACAGCTGATCCAAATAATCAAGATGCTCAAGACTATTAGACACTATTAGGTGTAAACCGTGCATGCATAGAACTAATCGCAGTTAAACACAGGCGAAGGTTTCACCAATCTTAACCCTGTATTGAAAGAGTGAACAGTTATAAATATTTGGCCATGTGGCTTGATAAATGATTGGGTTTTAATTTTCATATCGAAAATCTCGTAAAGTAGCTCAGATCTAAATTGGGTTTTATTTTTTGTATTAAGAAGTGGCTTCCTTTCGCAGCAAGAAAAATAATCATCCAAAAGCTGTTTCCTTTCAGTGATAGATTATGGAGATTATGGAAACCTGTCATTAATTTTAAAAAAAATTGGACAGTATATTTCATGCTGCAATATGATTTGTGATGAATGCATTTTCACGTAACATTTAATGTACTTTGTACATAATGGTTGGTTGGTTTTCTCTGCGCCAAAGGAGAAAAGTGCATATGCTTTTATTCAGTGCTATACAGTAGGTATTATTGGGTAAATTGCCATTTTACTGTATATTTCTAAACTTTTATCGCATTATACTTATTTATAGTACACAAAGTTCTTATAAATTACATTCAACTGTTCCTAGATCATATACAGAGTTTGGTAAAACAGCATTTTCCTCCTTTGGCCCTACATTATGGAATGAAATGCAGAGTGTTTTCATGTTAGAAACAATTTTGCTAATATTTTTACAATACTTTTGAAGTCTTACCTGGAAGAATCATGTGAATGTTTTGTATAAATTTTAATATGTGATATTTTATGTGTGTCTAATGTTGAATTTAAAACTTTTTGTGCTGCCATTTTGGCCAGGCCCCCCTGGTAGAAGAGATTTCTAGAGAATTGGAAGAGAATTCCTTGTAAAATAAACAAATAATAAAATAAAATAAAACTAGTAACGCTGTACTCTTTGTATTTTAGTTTGAAGCAAAATGTTTGATAATCATAAAATTTTCTTTAAACTTCAGTATCATTAAAATATGTAAGTCTTAAAGGATTTGTTTATCCAAAAATTATTATTAATTAACTTATTAACTTATTATTATTACTAATTACTAATTACTCATCCCATGTTGTTCCAATCTCCGAGACCTTTGTTCATCCTCAAAACAAATATTAAAAATTAAGATATTGTAGAATAAATTTGAAAGCTATCTGACCCTCCAAGGACACCAAGACGTTCAAGAAGTCAAAGTCCAAACAAGAAATCAAAAGCTGTCAAAACATCCCTGTTTTGTGAATTCAGTAGTTCAACAGTAATCATACAACGTTTAAAAAACTGTAAATATGACTGTACAGTATGCATTTACTACAGGCGGTGTGACATATTGCCATAAGAGTCAGCAACACACAATTGTTGTATTTTCTGTTGCAAGTGTGCACCGTGACCTTACACAACATACTAATGTGAACAAAGTAGTTTTTACATTTTGAAACACAAAATTTGGTAACACTTTAAAATACCAGTTCATGAGTAATGGTGTGTTAATATGTAACCTAGCAAAAAACCTTTTACCTGATGAAGACCATGTCGGTCGAAACGTTGTGATTTTGTAATATTGACATTAAAACATTTTTTTGAGAGCTAAAGTGGCAGTGTGCCGATTTACTTTGAATCTTTTGCTACTTAATATGTAACCTAAACATTACTTTATTATGACCTTATGATGAGTTAATATGCGCTAATCATCACTTAATACATTAATTAACAACCAAGGATGTACTAACAAGTAACTAAGATAGCCGTTATTCACACATGAACTCATGTGACTCCTGTTGTAGTTAAAGTTAGTTAATGATTATTAGCATACAATTACATCCAAAGATGCTTCTCCTTCATTCACTTTTGGTGAATGTAGCCTTGGCCAGGAAGAGTTGATGTCATCAGGCAGTACCCATTCATCGTTGGGTGTTTCAACCCTAAACCACAACACCCTCAACATTGGTGGATCATCAGTGATAGCCAAATCACAGCCCATCAACTTCCCCTGGCTTTCAGCTAAGCTTCTCCATAACCGGCAAGAAGCTCTCTCTGCTGCCTCCCCCATCCTGCGAACAGTTATCTTCTCTCACTCCCCATCACTCTAATGGCTGTAAGCATCCTCCATACTGACTGGTCCAGGGCAACAGCCGACCTCGACCTGCAGTCATGCAAGAGGTCCTGGTATTTGGCACTCTTCCTCTCAAACGCTTGCTCACAACCCTCTTCCCATGGGACTGTAAATTCAATGAGAATGATCTTCTATGCCTCTTCATACTGCATCTGGCCTCAGGTAGGTCTGGACAACCCTGGGAATTGCATTAACTTATCATTCGTTCATAATAAAGTAATGTTTAGTTTACATATGAATACATAAATTTTCATGTAATGTTATTGTAAAATGTTACCCAAACTTTTTAACAGGGCTATGTTTGATTACAGTCGAACCACTGAAGTCACATGGAGTGTTTTGTAAATGTTTTTGGTTCCTTTTCTGGACTAAACATCTTGTGACCGCATTGTTGTCTATGGAGGATGGGAAAGCTCTTAGATTTAATCTAAAATACCATGATTTGTGTTCTGAAGATGAACAGGGAAGGTCTCAGGGGACTGGAACGATATAAGGATGAGTAATTAATAACATAATATACAATTTTTTGGTGAACTGATCATTTAAGTACAGATTTAAACCCCTGACAAGCTAAATGTTTGATAAAACAGCAATTATGTATGAAAGTTATTCTTTAATGTATTTCCTTCTATTCAGGTTATTAAAATCTGGGATGTGGAAACCGGAGCTCTAATATTTGAATTTGGATGCGCTCATGGAGACTCTGCAATAACCTGCATGACCTTTGACACTAGCGGAAGAAGGTTAGTAGTAAAACTATCTGCCTGGTGCAAAATTCTGATTGTTTTTCATATCCTTGTGTATTTCCACCAGGTTAATGACTGGTGGGAGAGATGGCCTCATTAAGTTGTGGAACTTCAACAACGGCCAGTGTGTGAAGATACTCAGCAGAGGTCAGTAATTCTTCATAATGTGTATTTGATTGATTTTCGTTGCTCCTGACTATGACTGATTATTCAGGCTTTGAAATATGATCCCGCGTTACCTATAAATCTGCTGTGAAGTGAATCCCTGCATTACATTTCTCCCCAGAAGGAAAATGTCCAGAGATTTGTGACTGCTCCTATCTGACACTGCATGGAAACACGTGAGTCTCTGGACCACAGTCTTCTCAGACATTATCCACTTCATCTTTTTTGGCTGATTGTTTTTCTTATTTATTCTGGCAGATTTGTGATTTCTGTTGGTTGGAGCCGCAGGATTGACATTTACTTGGTGAGTGTAAAGTGACCAGCCTGCTTCCCTCACGACCTTATTTTATCTCAGCGTTATTCCCCTGATGACTCTCATAAAATGGTTGACTGCCATGACCTGTTTCTTCCCCCCTGGTACTCTCGCCTTTATTGCTGTTCACTCCATTTCCATATTTCATTTACTTCAGTGTTTCTCCCTCCTCAAAAGTGCCCGAGTGCTGTTTGGTGTGGTTTATTCCTCCATTCCCTCCTGACAGTCCATTATTTAATCTGTTACAAGAGCTTTTGTTCACTTTAGAAAAGAGAATCTGAGCTCTGTGGAAAAAAGATACCCTAAACGCATGATTATGACACCACTGGAGAGTATATATTTCACTTTTATTGAGAATTTTCCCTTCCATCTCTTGTCAATTCTGTATTAAGTGTTCAGAGTAACTTGATTTATTCATTCTTTCATTGGTAGAGGAAGATTTAACATGAAATATAGAACAGATCAGACTGTCTTCGATGATTTAATATAAAATATAGAACAGATTAGGTTGTCTTATGAAATGTTACATTTAGGATTGATAATATTTGTGAAAGGATAAATATTTTAGTTATGTTTTGCATATAATGTATGTGTTGAAGTCAAAATTGTTAGCCCTCATGTGATTTTTACATACTTTTTCAAATATTTCCCCAAATATTGTTTAACAGAGAAAAGGATTTTTTTTTTTCACAGTTTTTCATATAATATTTTTTTTCTGCTGGAGAAGGTTATATTTGTTTTATTTCAGCAAGAATAAAAACAGTATTTTTAAAAATCATTTTAAGGTCACTATTATTAAGAAAAACGTTAAAAACTTAACTTACGTTAAAAATTAACATAGCCTCATAAGTTTGAACAATTTGTCTAGTTTTAAGGCAGCTTTATTTGTATAAAAAACAATATTGATAATAGTCTCACATTAATAATAACTATAAAATATTTAAATGATTTCAGTAGTGCTTAATTAAGATACATTTATAGATACCAGATAAATAATATTTTAAAATGTGATTTTCATTGTTGAAGTTTAAAACTTTGGGTGTGTGACAAGGTGAAAACAGTGATTTTGACACCTAAAAGGAGATTAAATAATATGAAAAAATATAATAGAAAGGTTTTTTTTTTTTTTTAAAGTAGGTTTTATTGTTAGTTTGACAAAGAAAGAGGAATTTGAACAAAATTATATATATTTTTGGATATATGATAAAAGGACATAAAAGTGGCCGTAGATGAAGAATTACCCATATATATTATATACATATATTTTTTTGTAATTGTCTTAAGAACAAACCATCACTATATAAAACAAATAATGCGGAACGGTTAGTAATTCTGACTTGACTTCAACTGTATATTGTTGCTTTATAAACTGTTAATATACTATAAGGTTAAATATAATAATATTGAATCTAGAGGTTATATACATATTTTAATTTGGATGCAATCTTCTGCTACTTAAAGGTTTGATTTAATTATGTTTATTTTATATACAGCTCTAATATAGCCTTTATTTATTAATAGAGACAGTTGTCAGTTTATTTAAAAAATATTTTCAGTAGTATTCACGTTTGTCGTTGGATCTTGTTTTACTTTAAATTTTACATACAAGCAAGCAATATGTAACTTGTAATTTAACATGTTCTCTGCATCTACAAACAGACCATTCATAGTCTGACTTATAAAATGTACCATCTTTAATGTCTACGTGAAATCAATATGTTTATTTTGCTAACACACATTTTATTCTTTAACTTATCAATTTATCTGTGCACAAATTAATAAGTTCTTTAACCTAAACACTCACTCACTCACTCACTCACTCACTCACTCACTCACTCACTCACTCACTCACCTTCTGCTTATTCCGTGCTTTATCAGGGGTTGCCACAGTAGAATTAAATGCCTTTGTGTAAGTTAATCCACTGAAAAAAAGTTGGTTTTAGTAATTTTCAAATCATTGATCATTTGCTTTTCCATTTAAAGTTCCGGTCTATCTCTGATGTCTGCATCTGCAGCCACATTATTCTTAACCACGCCCCTCCTACTATTAGTTTGCGATGAGGGCATGATGCACAAAAAGAAAAGCCCAGCCCTTCCAATATACTGTTTCAGATGGAAGCACATCACTTCAATAAAAGTCTCAGCAACTTCCAGTTCATGTGGACTTTAATGCGAGTGATTCAATTAAATTTAAGAGACTATGAACAGAAGAGAGCGAGGCAGTGGCGCAGTAGGTAGTGCTGTCGCCTCACAGCAAGAAGGTCACTGGGTCGCTGGGTTGAACCTCTGCTCAGTTGGTGTTTCTGTGTGGAGTTCGCGTGGGTTTCCTCCGGGTGCTCCGGTTTCCCCCACAGTCCAAAGACATGGGGTACAGGTGAATTGGGTAGGCCATAATTTCCTTAGTGTGTGGGTGTGTATGTGTAAATGTGTGTGTGGATGTTTCCCATTGATGGGTTGCGGCTGGAAGGGCATCCGCTGCGTAAAAACTTGCTGGATAAGTTGGCGGTTCATTCCGCTGTGGTGACCCCGGATTAATAAAGGGACTAAGTCGACAAGAAAATGAATGAATGAATGAATGAATGAACAGAAGAGTGCAGAATTGCTACTTATTTTTTCTTGTAAAAAGTGCTCAGATGGTATTATTGTATTGCTTTTGACAGGACTCCAAAGAGGAAACTCAGTTCATTCAGAGACCAACACCTTCCTGGCAGGACGACATGGTATTAGCAACATCCACGACAAACACCTATTTCTACACATGACTGCACTACACAAGAGAAAAGAGAAATGTGTTGATGTTTTACACAGAGGAATGGACACAAAGAAGATATCCTGTGCATTGCTCACTGCACACCACATCTCCTGGCCACTGGCAGCTTCGATGGGGAGATCATTGTGTGGAATGTGGTTTCTGGACGCATACAGTGTCGCTTCCAGACCCCGCAGTCTCAAAAGATCAGCAGTTCTCATGGTACCAATAATAGATTTGCTGATCCTCAGAAAGGCTTTTCACACATGAATTAACAAACCCCAGGGAAAAGGGAGTATTATTTTAGGGTTCACACTGTCAACGATAGGACTGGAATTCTAAGAACATCCAGAATTAAAGACTTCAGATAAGACATTTAAGGTCTTGCAAAATTAAAATGAAAAAAATGTAGATGTTAGTTTCAGTTAGTTTTTAAGGATTTTCATTGGCTAGTGGGCTTGCAGTTTGTCACTTCCGCCTAAATGGATCAACAATTTTCTAGTCACCTCATACTTCATTTTTTCATCAAATCTTGACCAATGAAATGATTTATAGTATCTGACAACACAATTTCACGGCAATTCGTAACCTTTTGATTTCGTGGCGAATCTAATTTGTACAATTTTATACTATTTGCTCATCATCCAATGATGGTTGGGTTTAGGAATGGTGTTGGGTGCCACACCTCCTTTTTAAAATCATACATTTTCATACGCCACTTCACTGACAAAACATAAAATACTTACGTTTTTTCGTGAGAACAGGCTGGACATGCTGCTCCCCCTTCAAGACGCTTCTCATTTGCTTTTCATTTGAAGCGCTTGATCTCAACCAATAAAAATGAAACACTATTGGCTGTTTTTTTTAAAGGGGAGGAGCTACTTTGTTATTCGCTCTTCACTTTTCAGTTCTGATTATATCAAACATGGAATAAAAAATGCACATTTCAAAGCACTTCCACGGGATCTTTAAGAATAATTTGACAAACATAAGAAGTTTATTGTGAAAAATTTAAGTGTGAGATTTATTAACAGCTTGCTGTAGTACAAACCTTTTTAGAGCATGTTTTTGGTAGCATACTTTCTTGGAAGAGGGTCTTTAATTGTGCCATAGAATGAAAATCTAGATATAGCTGAATAGAAAGGCCTAGCTGAATAAATTAGACTGAGCCTAAAACACTATTGTTTCCTCTTTTGCAGGTAAATTCCATGAGTGTAAAATTTCAGTAAAAAAAACAAAAAAAACAAAAAAAACAGGTAAATTGGAACAAAAGACAGACTTTAACATTTGAGGACTTTATTTGGCCACAAAGTTTCCTAGTGAGATTATAACAATGAGCTTATATATACTATGTATGTGGGAATCTTATTTTAAAAATGAACAGGTTTCACAGAAGAGTAACCGGATTTGTGAAGCAGACAATCAATCACAACTTGTCAGAATGCAAAATGTGGGATATACAGATTATAAGCTATTTAAGCTAAATACATATATAAATATTTTTTGACAGCTGAAATTTGATTGTTTTGCATGTGTGTGTCTGAGCAGAGCTGCTGGAGCATCAAAGCATAGCTCATTATTGTTCATGACCCTTCCAAATAAGGTCAAAACTAACCATATTGTATTTGGGACGATTCTGGAAATGTACCTGAAAACTATTTCTGGAAAATTTTTGCACTTACCAAAACTGCATTTACAGTACTATAAATTAGGTTTGTCATGATACTGTAATTCGGTACCAATTGATACTGGATTTTTTTAAAAATGTCAATTTCCCGCAAACATTTAAACAGAAATGACTGTGATTGGCTGTTAAGGTTATCAGTTCTCTGAATGTAAACACAGATACAGGGACACTGGAGCATTTTAAAGTAGAGATCTGCGCGGGACCAAATTTTAAATCCCGCACCCGCCAGGTTTTAGCCTGAACCCGACCGCTCCCGCTTATATTATTTATTGTCCCGCTGCCCGACCCGCCCCGTTTTCTGGTCGCCGCGCCTGATCCCGCTAAAGAGCGGGGGAGAACAAAACCGAAAATCCCCCAGCTACAGTCCAGACAGCCAAGCTGTCTGTATAAACACACACACAGCACCAAGCACACACACACAGACCAATCTCTCTCTCTCATACACGCGCGCGCGCACTAACACACACAAGTACCAAGCAGACACACAGGCGTTTGCTGTTATATCAACTCAAAGGCTTGTAATACCATGTATCAAGTACCAATGTAATACCAAAAGGTTTTATATAAAGGTATATAAATACTGAGTCGCGCCAGCCTCGGGCCGATTCTGGCGCGGATGCGGCAGCGTTGGCTCGCTTACGATTGATTCGGGCTGGAATCGGGCAGTGACTCCACAAGCATCCGGAGTCCGGCAGCCAGAGCCGGGCTGAGTGGTAAGTCTCCGGCAGGCGAGAATCTAGCCGGAACTGGCCCTAGTGTATTTTGCTATCTGGGAAAGCTCTTTCTCTCTCTCTCTCTCTCATTCGCGCGCACACTAACATACACACACACAAGCACCAAGCACACACACAAGCAAAGCTCTCTCTCTTTCTCTCTCTCTCTCTCTCTCATTCGCATAGCAATATATATATATATATATTGCTAGGCAGCCCGCTCCCGTCCCAAATTAAACCCGTTACCGACCGCTCCCGCGATTTATTCGCAAATTTATTCCCGCGCCGCAGAAATCTGTCGGGTCCAGCCGCGGGACAGCCGCGGGAATGCAGACCTCTATTTTAAAGTCACCTCGATTAGCTGGTTTGTTTATATGCTGACATAGGAGCGATTCACTAATAAATCACAGCTTTAAAATGTTCCAATGTCCCTGTATCTGTGGTTACACTCAGTAAATAGTGGTGAGTTCGGTGAACTGATGAAATTTATGGTCAATCGCAGTCGTTTCTGTTGAACACAATGGCAAATCAGCTGTGTTTAAGAACGTGCCTATCATCGATCAAATGTTCGCGGGAAATAGACGTTTTTAAAATTTAAGTATCGATTGGAACCGAATTCCAGTATAGTAACAACCCTACTATAGATATAAGAAAACTATTTTACGTATTGTGTCACTTCATTCTATGGCACATTTAAAATATTTTAATGTTGCAGTAGTGAGTACTAGTATTTTTGCCATTATTTAATGCTGAAAAAATAATGTCTTTTTATTAAAAGCCTCCCAGTGTGGTTAATAGATTTTATGAACATTGCTGTCATTGGTTCTGCTTGTCTATGAACTAATTTGTGTTTGTTTATGTGTTGTTTTAGACAAAGAAAAATGTCAGAAAGCATTTTAACTTTTGGAGAGAAATGTTTTATCTACCCAAGGCTGAAAGCGGGATTGTAAAATATCCCAGGATTAAGCTCAGTGTGAAAAGCCCAAAGCAAATCTATCATGACATTTTTGAATACAAATCACAATCTGTAAGAGGATTTTGTTGTTGTTTGATTGCCCACAACAGTGCAAAACACGAGTGTGCTAAGCCTCATCTTCCTAAAGACCAGGGCGTTTGTTCCTGAACTGGCCTCTTCTGCTTGGCTTGTATCTTCAGGGTCTCGAGGTAAACCAGCCATAGCAATGAATAAAATCAATTCAAATACAGAAAATTCTTAATTCACCCTTAATATTTATTTCATATGCCCATAAAGGTTATGTTAATTTCTGGAGTGTTTTGAATGGTGGAAAGTTCGTCGCATCTTTTCAAGCCGTAAGTGAAAAGTTTAATAATAAATTCAGTGCAAACACAATTAGCTCAAAGTTGTAATCAAAGCTGTTTTTTTTTAAAGTCTCACCTTCAGCAGCAGATCACAAAACTGGCTTTAACACAGGACGACAGCATGCTTTTTACTGCCGATCATGTCGGTTTCATCTATGTGTACAATGTCAAGCAATACGCAATGGGGCCTGAACAAAACCCGCCTGAAAGTAAGGACAGTCCTCATTTTCATTATTAAGCTTCAAAGTTGTTATTAATGCTGATGTTGTTCCCTGGTTCATTATTATTCATTTCCAGAGATAAACTTCTGGCGCGCACACATCCGCAGCATCACAGGGTATGTTCAAGGTGTCAAAAGAAAAGCAGACAAAGTTTTCTTTTACTTTTATTTCTGTCTGTTTTTGTTAAACATTTTTCATTTGAATTAAAGGCATTTCTTTAATCTTATTTTATTTCATCTCAAGCTTAAAGATAGTTGACAAGGACCAGTTTCTGCTTACCTCCTCCATGGACTGTTCAGTGCGCCTGTGGAATATTCATGGGGATTACATAGGTACATTTGATAACAAGCTTACAAGATGTCTGGATTTTTGTCAAAGTCTTTTTGCATAAACCATGGCGAAATGTGTCAGCAGCACACCAATATTTGCTGTTGCATTTTTCAATTGACCTTATTCTTTCCAGGTACAAGCAGGTGCAGCCATTGAAATCTTATTGTCTCACTGACTTGAATTGCATTTTACTGTTAAAAATAAACAGCTTGTTATGCTGCAAACTTGTATTTATTCACTATATATATATATATTCCCATATATACATTTTCCCATTTCATGAAACAATTGCAGAAAAGAGTTATGCATATGTTAGGACTTATGCATTGCAGAATAAGATCACTATGCACCAAACAGTTTCTAAAAATAAAAAAACTCAACTAAACCGCTAAACTAACTTACAATTTTCATAACATCTACAGGGCTAGGACAATGAAATTGAAACACATGGTTTGAGACTACAATAATTCATTGTTAATGGTTAGGACCATCTTTTTTGGCCAATACAGGATCATTTAATCTTAGGAATGACAGATACAAGTTCCGCACAATGGCCAGAGGGATTTTGAGTGAATCTTCTTACAGAATAGTGGCCAGGTCACTACGTGATGCAGAAAAAACACATTTCATGACTCGCTCCTCCAAAACACCCCACAGTGGCTCAATAATATTTATATCTGGTGATTGTGTTGGCCATGCGAGATGTTCAACTTTTCAAACTAATCTCTCACCAGTCTTGCTGTTTGTATCGGTGCATTATCATCCTGATACACGGCATCGCCTTCATGGATGGATTCAATGTTTTAAGCATTGTGGGTCCTTCAGAAAAGTTGCAGTCATTGGCAGTGATGCGCCCATCTAGCTCAAGTATTGGGTCTAGGGAGTTCCGTGATATTGCATCACTGGTAGACCCCCATGCCTCACTCTAGGCATGCAATAGTCTTGGTGGTAGACTTCTTTGGAGCTTCTCCACACCCTAACTCTCCCGGATGTGGGAAAACAATGAAGGTGGACTCTTTAAAGAACAACATATGTTTCACATTGTCCACAGCCTAAGATTTTTGCTGCAGATGCCATTAAAACTGACGTTTGGCATTGGCATGAGTGACCAAAGGTTTGGCTATAGGAGCTTGGTCATGTAAATTGACCATGTGAAGCTCCCAACGAACAATTTTGGTCGAAACAGGAGAGTTGAGGTGGTTAAATGTGGAATATGCAATCAATGAATCAAATTTAGCCTTGAAACATCCAACCTCAAATTGGCCAGTGTTAAATTGGCTAGTGTTTCCGTTTAATTGTCCAACTCCTGTATATATAGCTGCTCTCTATTGATTTAAAGTGCTTCTTTTATCCTCCTTTGCAAGTGGCTTTGGATAAAAGCATAAGTGAATAAATGTAAGCTGTACATGTCTGATGGACTAAAAAGAAGTAATTCAGTAGTCATTTCATTTTATTCAGAGAATAAAATGAACGACAGTCTGAACTACATAAACTTCTCAGGTACTTTTGGTCAAGAGGAGGATTGGAGGATTGAAACGCCGTCTTCCTGGAAGCACCCGGCTGTTCCCTACGAGATCCTCATTGATCCCTTGAGCATGCCTTCTCATCCAGTACTGGATGAAGAGATCAATCAGTCAGATGTCTTGAGCTCTGAGAAAAGTGAAAATGTAAACAAACAGGTGTGGTTTTTGGGTATATGTGGGTTGTTTTACAAACCTCCTTTTTTTTCTCCATTAATGACTTAGGTGGTGTTTCCGAGATGAAACTTTGGCTTCTAAAACAATCTCAATATGCTCTAATTACAGTTGGATAACCAGACAGACAGTGATCCTCCAACAATCCTCAATGATAGAGATATTGAAGATGGAAGCATCAGCTCCTGGTTTCGCTCTGAGCCTGGCAGGAGGTTAGTACATATTTCATGAAAACCAAACATCTAAATGCAAACCAAGTGTTCTGATTAAGGAGTAACAAATTGGATTTTCTCCAATCTTTTGGATCACAGGCAGCGTCATGCAATATTCAAACATTTGAACAGAGCATCAAACAGAACGGGTCTCAAGGACTACAACACTTTGAAGGACTTGGACCTTATTGTTATGCCACAAACATATAAAAGACCCGATCTCTCCCTCCGAAAAATCAATCCACTCGAATCCAAGGATGCAGATGAATAGCCGCTTCAAAGTCATTGTGTTAAAATGAGGACAAATACATGATAGTAATATGAACAGCGTCAAGAGTTGTTTTTTAATATATCAATATGACCTCCTTATTTAGACATGCACTTTACTTTTATAAGGATTTATTTATAATTTTAGCTTCTTTGAACCATTATGAAACGGAAGTTGGTGAGACTTTTATTCGAGTATGTTCTCAACATACAGGGTGGCATGGTGGCTCAGCGATTAGCACTGTCGCCTCACAGCAAGAAGGTCGCTGGCTCGAATCCAGTTGACATTTCTGTGTGGAATTTGCGTGTTTTGCCGTGTTTATGTGGGTTTCCTCCGAGTGCTTCAGTTTCCAAAAACAAGTGAATTGGATGAACTAAATTAACCATAGGGTGTCACTGTGGCACAGTGGGTAGCACGATCGCCCCACAGCAAGAAGGTCGCTGGATAAAGCCTCGGCTGAGTCTGTTGGCATTTCTGTGTGGAGTTTGCATGTTCTCCCTGTGATCATGTGGGTTCCCTCTGGGTGCTTCAGTTTCCCCCACAGTCAAAAGACATGCGCTATAGGTGAATTGGGGAAAGCTAAATTGGGCTTAGTGTATGTGTGTGAATGAAAGATTGCATGGGTGTATCCCAGTGATATCCAATGAGTAAAACATATGCCGAATAAGTTAGCAGTTCATTCCGCTGTGGCGACCCCTGATTAATAAAGGGAAGTCGAAAAGAAAATGAATGAATGTATGAATGAATGAAATTGGCTCAGTGTTTGAGTGTGTGTGAATGACAGTGTGTGTTTCCTAGTACTGGGTTGTGGCTGGACGGGCATCCGCAGCGTAAAACATAAGCTGAAATAGTTGGTGGTTCATTCATTTGTGGCGACCTCTGATAAATAAGGGAAGGAGCTGAAGGAAAATGAATGAATGAATGATTTACATGCAATTGAAATAAAATATTGAGTGGGGGGTGGGGCTTTCTTTTTGCGTATCTTTCCCTTATAGCAAACGAATGGTTAAAAAGGGGCATGGTTAAGAATATTGTGGCTGAAGTTGTTAAAATGACATTCAAACAAATAAAACAAATACTCAGACTTTGATTAAAGACTACCAAAAAACTAAATACCAGAGGATAACTTGTACAGATTAATTGTTCCCCTAAAGAAAATGTATTTAAATTTTGACTTTAAAGGGGTAGATTACCCATACATGAAAATCCGGTCATCATTACCTCAACGTTGAGTCATTCCAAACCTGATATTGTTTCAATTTTGATGAATTGTTTTTGCTCATGCAATAGATGTCAAATGGATTCAAAACATTTAACATCCAGTCATACATGTTTAAAATGACATTACGGGGAATAAATCAAAGAAAGAAAGAATAAAAAGAGCCATAGATAGTTTCAAAACTGTTTTATTGTGATTTTCAAACTTACAACAAAAAGTTTCAGGCACGACAAATCAGTTCATCATTTTAACATGTACAACAGAGACAGGTGGTGCATTTCCACCTGCACAGATAGCACTGTCAATAAATTCTAAATTTAACATGACATATCCTATTGAATGCACAAGGAAAATAAAGTGGAACCGTCAAGCGTAAAGCAGCAACCCTTGTACATCCATTTCTGAAATTGCAAGCTTTCACTTTGTTTAGAGTCATAGTTTCAGTGCAAGCTTTTTGTTTTTCAATCAGTGCTAGTAAATGATCATTTCAAAGCTTTTTGCTGTTCTTTTATATATTGCTTTTGTCTGTTATATTTACATATATGCAGCTCTTAATTTAAAACACACATTTTATTATGGGCATGTCAATGGAGGTGCATTCATAGTCAGTAACTGAGTTGGAATTTACTTGGAAAGCTTTGAAGCTAGACTGAAACACAGCAAGAGCTTTAAAGATTTTCAGATTGATGCTTCATGAATATGAAACAATACACAACAAAAAACATATCTGATATTAAATACAAGGTGCCTAATAGCATTGAATGTAACAAACAAAAAGCTTCATTTAAGCATATTGTGTTGGCAAAATAAGCTGCTAAATGTTGACATGGTTGTTTTTTCTTTCATTTTGAACAAAATCCGTGTAGTCCATAGTCACATCTTCTGGGCTTTTGTGTTTGTGTAAACGCTCTGGTTGAATAGTGTCGTCCATAGGAGAGTCAACTCTGGGCTTGGGCTTGGAAACAATCTCCCCACAAACATTGTTGAGTGTCTACAGAATTAAATTAATTAAATAATCATTATTACATTTTTTTAATAGGAAACATTTGAGTATTATATTAATGAAAAATAATAGTATTAATTATAATATTTATTTACATTATTTAAGATAAAATCCTGCATATCAATGTTTTAAAAATAAATAAATACAATAAAAAAGCTTTTTCTGAAATTGAGTGATGACAAAAAAATAGATAAATAAATCTAACAACACCCCCCTGTGGCTGCTTTGACATAGAAATCTATAATCAATCACATATAAGACTATTGTTTCATCTATCCCTCAAAGTGATCTATTTCAGTCTATTTCCTCACCTGTAATTTCTTCTGGATCTGAGTGCTGTGTATGGCCGGTTCCTGATCGGGTGTGAGTTTATCCTGAGAATCCTGTATGTTTGTCATCCATACTTGTGTGTCTTTAACACACACTCTGACCTTGTCCATGTCCATGGCATCGATATGACAGTAACTTTCACTCTGGGAGACAAAGTTTACAAACATTATTATGCAGTTACACTAAGAGAAACTACCTTAGATGAATTTTGACTGCTAGTTACAATAAATTTAAGTATTGCTTGATTTTATTTAAAGGGACAATTCACCCAAAAATAAAAAAAAATCTCTCTTTAAATCACCCTTTACTTGTTCCATTTTAAGTTGTCCAGTTTATCCAGTTTAAGTTGTTGGAAAGAATGTTTAAAACTGGTAACCATTGATTTACATAGTAGTAGTTTTTTCACAACAGATGTCAATCGTCACCATTTTCCAATGCTCTTAAAAACATCTTTTGTGTTTTGTTGAAATATTTCCTGACAGAATTGTAATTTTTTAAACTATCCGTTTAACTATGCCAACAATAATGCAAAAATATTTAGCTTTTACATCATGCAATCAATGTTTTTGGACCTTTAAAGCAAGTAAGTTATTAAAATTAATGAAAAATATAGGATACCCCCATTTAAAGAGGACCAATTCTAAGATAAAAATACGTCTCTGATGTTCCTAGACTATGTATGTGAAGTTTCAGCTCAAATACCCCACAAATAATTTTGAACATGACTCTTATGCTTTGATCCTGATTGTGCCATTTTGGTGACTGTCGCTTTAAATTCAAATGAGTAGTCCTTGAAGTCCTCTTTTTAAAAGAGGGAGGAGCTACAAATACCCATGTGTATGTCTATGCATAGTGGCAGGTTCAAAAACAAGACTAACATCCCATGCTAATGAGATCATGATTCATCAATAAGGGGCAGGGCTTAAACCCTCTGATCAAGTGTGTTTCATGAAGTGTGATTGTAAAAAATAAAATGTATAAATCTTTTACAATTAGAAGCTAGTAGTCACACAACTTTATTTAAACCAAGGTGTGAATTATACAATAACGATCCGGGGGGTGGTGGTCAAATTTTTTCAGTTATGTTTGGTAATATGCCTCAGTGAACCAAAGTTACTTATTTAATTCCATTATATCTAATTTAGATAATCAAACTTTTGTTTTGTTTTGAGGCATATTGAGTGTTTCTCAATGACATTTGTGATATCAAATAAAAGGTGACAGATTTGCATTCCTGCACCAATTAATGGATGACCATGAAAAATGGCACATATTTTTTTATTTTACTGTTTAAATTCCATGTGCAAGCAAAAGTAAAATAAAAACTATGAATCTAGTTTTATGGACACCTACAGTACAAATGCATATTTTACAAAAAACATGTTTTGTGTACGCTTACGCTTTCTGTTGGTGCTCTAGATTTGCCGGATTCAAACACTAAATTAATATTTTGATGCAAACATGCATTCACAGGGGTATGAACCATTATAGGGAGTGGTCAAAAATGTATATTTACGTTATCTATTATTTTAATTTGTAATATTATTTAAGGGTGCTTTCACACCTAAACTTTTGTTTCAGAACCTGGTGCATTTCCCCAGTTAGGGTGGTTCGTTTGGCTTATGTGAATCCAGCTATAGTGCGAGGATCTGCGCCAAAACAATCGGTCCAAGATCGCCTGAATGAGGTGGTCTCGGCTCGATTGAAACGAACTCTGGAGCGGATCAATGTAGTGAGAAAGTAATACAATCCGAACCAGGCTATATCACAGTGTATTATGGATATGTAATATAGCTATATGAAGAGAGAATTATGAGTATGGCAGGATGTCATCACTTCTACTGGTAGATGTGCATTTCATATCAAATACGAAAGTGAAAGCATGTTAATTATAATTATTAAAGAGAGCTGTTTATGCGTTAGGAAAATTGACTGAACAGCAGACTTGGTTTATCTGTTATTTCTCTCTGTAATGTAAAGCATAATATAATGCATAAGCCAACTGCTATGTATGAGAAACTCTTTCCTCTGATTTATATTCTAAAATAAGGATGCATGACAGTGGAGCGGAAAAAAAAAACCCTGAATCAATGCGAAGAGAGTTAACTTGCACATAACTTGTTTTAGCTCTTTTGGTCCGTTTAGAAAGTTTGCCGTGTAAAAGCGAACAGTACCAAGAACAAAATGCAACAATGTAACAGTTTTAATCCCTGTTTCGGAACAAAAGAATCGACCCCAATTCGTACTTTGTTTTAAACCCCTTATGTTTTTGCATAATAGTTCCCCTTCAAAAGTTCTATATTGTTTCTCTAACTGAATTAAACATTACAAACTAAAATCAGTAGATCTTTGCACAGCAACATATGCGCAGTAAATAGTGAGAAAAGTAGATAATTACTTTTCACTAAAGAATACATGTTACAGTGTTGTTTGAATGATTTTTTGATTGCAGATGGTATAGAGAAACTCAATAAATACTTTGCTGTTTGTCAGCAAAGAAAAAAG